CGGCTACATCAAGTGATAATTTGTTCTTAGAATTTTCAATTTCTCAGAATTTATTGTGTTATCATATTATTTCATTTATGTTGTATATGTTGGATGCTGACATTATTTAGGCAGTGGCAAGGGAAGATGCATCTAGGGTTACAAATAAGCTATGAGAGTGTATTAACTCAATTGAAGCTTTTTCTCATGAGTGGTAGTCTACATGTTGAGGAATTCATTTCAAATAAAAGGTTATTTCACTTCTCAAAAAGGGGATTATGGGGACTACATTGAATGTGCTTTAAAGAAAGTTATGTAAATTCATAGGATATTTCTGTTTGGTGGAATACATGTCTTTGCCTCTAGAAAGGGCAGAGTAATTGTGTCAAAAGCTGCAAAAAGTATCACAAATATCATGCAAAAGAATTGACACAGAAAATTTAAATAAAGATATTAGTGTAATCTTTGAAGAGAATGTGAAAGGTATAATGACACATTTGATATTGGTGGAAACTCGAGTAACCTATCACTTGATGAGGCTATTGCTCACAAGGAGGATTATTATAATGATTCATATTGCTCACTCTAACTTGTCAAGAAACATAATTGTTCACTTTCCAAGAAATCTTACCACGATTCAGTGGATACAAATTATGTCCCTGACAAACATTATATGAGGCAATTCATTAGTTCTTCCTGCAAAAAAAATAACTGAAAGCCATATATGACTGATCCGCTATTCTTAATTTGAGAAAATAATCTGCTTAATAACCCCAAACTTATTGAAGAAACAACGCTATCATGCAGATCAAATAAGTCTCCATTAACTACCATGCTGCACCTGACGGATATGTGTAAGTGTGGGATGCCTGACCTTGGCGGAGAGTTCAGGCCCAGACTAACCCTGGAGAATCCATGCCTACATCTGTGAAGAAGATGATGGGATCAGTGAATTCATCAGTAAATACCACCACTGTTGCCCGTCATGCCCAAGGTTCTTCCATTGAACCCATGAGATTTATTTTTCCATTTTTCTCCTTGGCAACAATCATCATCATCAGTCAATTTCATCAGTCAATCATATTATGTGATGTGCCTGATCACGAGAAGGCAGTCGCCCTTCTTTATCAAGAGGAGCAGCGCAATCCAAAATGAGTAGGATTGCCCAGCACATAAGAAAGGCAGAACAGGAGACATGAAAGTTTAAGAGCCATAACGGGAGAAGTCAACGCTCCCACCTTACTATATTCCTCTTCCAATGCATGCAGTGAAAAACAGGTTTGGAAAGCCCGTGAACAGATATTTGGTATACATAAGATTCTTCATTAACTATTAATTTCCTCGGTACAGAGCAGTTTTTGAGACATCCCTGTTAAATTGATAGAGCATCATGTACACCAGACGACAAAGCACCGCCCACAAGCCGTCCTCAAAAGCCCATCGGCAGTTTTCAAAGCATTTCCAATAATACTTAAAGAACCATCTAAACCGTGTTCAAAAGGACTTCTCCACCACAGAAAAATAATCTCCACTCCAGGGGAAAAAATTCACATATCAAATAAAACTACGAAAAATAACTGGTTTTTTTCATCGGGAGTGTAGAGGAATATAACTTGACAGCTGGAAAAATAAAACAATGAAAAATAATAATAAAAATCAATTTGAACAGTTTTTATTCACAATCAACTTCATTGTTTAGCAGCTTTGCTTTTTTTCTTCTCTTGATCTTCTTCTTTCCCTTGGCCATAAGAAGAAGCTGCTCACCCTCCAGCTGAACCTCCTCCTGCATTCTTCCCCAGAGCTCATCAAATAGGTGTCGAAAACCCTCTTGAAACCAGCACTGAATCTCAGACCGCAGCAACTGAGGATTCTTCCTCCAAGCCTCACATAAGATCGCCCGCCTGTCGATTATCACATTCCCCACCTTCATCTTCTTTAACAGATTGAAGACCCTGCTCTGACCCAATGACTCAGGCCTCAACATGAATCTCGGTGAAGCAACAAGACATCTCTGGACGCATCTCAAGCAGGGCAACAAATTACCCTCCAGTAACGCACATGCAAAAATGGAAATACGAACCATATCATTCTCTGCTGGCACACCATGCAGAGGAAGCGGCCAAAGATGCGGCCCAAAACTGGGCCTGACCCAGCAAAAGACCCCGTCTTTCAATGAATCATAACAAGGCCTTGGTTCCAAAAGTGGTGCGGAGAAGTTGCATAGGGAACTAGCATACTTGACGAGCCACTCTGGCTTCACTCCAGTCACACCGTGAAGGTACGACCTCTTGGTACAAAGCAGCTCAGTGTACACTACAAATTCTGGCCGAGAGTGAGAAACAGAAGAACTGGGGTGAAGAAAGACTGTTTCTCCCAGGGCACAGGACTGATATCTAGCAGCTCTGACTCTAAGATCCTTGTCTGAAGACTTTGGACATCCCTGCATACGTTTGGCCACCCTATCTGCCCATCCAGCGCATATGGCCTGCGCCAAAAATTCTTCCTCTTCTAGGAGAAGAGGTTGTTGGTCGCCAGGAGTAAACCAGGCGGATTCCACATCCTCTGCGCTTCCATAACGCCATGAAAATTCCTCGTCACAACCACCCAGATGGAAAATCAACTCCAGTAGTTGCTTTCTCAACTTGGACATCTCATCGATGGTTTTGACGTGTAGCAAGTTCTCCCTGCAGAATTCCTCTTTTTCCACTTTTGTTCCTGTTAAATCATGCTACTGTAAAAGATATGATACAGTGAGAGCATCACTGTTATGATTTCTAAATCTCAGATGGTTCTCTTCTACTGCCGGTTTTGGCTTTCCCATCACTCTTTGCCTCTTGAACGGAGGAGAAACTCTGCCGCCATCTCTCTCATTATCTATATCCAACTCTTCTCTTGTATTCTCATTATTCCCTCTGCTGTGACAGGGTATAATGAAAGGATTGTGAAGGCTTAACGCTGCTGCCGAGGCAATCGCATACGCAAAAACCAGGTTAGCTCTGGAATAATGCGCTTGTTGCATCCTCATAATTCTTATGAATGATAAAAGCATTCGAGAATGGCGAGGACTCATAGGATACCATGACATCGCCCTTCCAATGCGTGTCAGACGTCCTTTGCTGACAACTGCCTCAAGAGCTTTTAGGCAACGATCAGCTTCTGTAAGCGCAGCAGCCTGAGGCGGAGTTGGGAAAGGAAAGCTTGCAACCTAGGAAAATACATGAAATCATGTGTTCAGGAGGAAAAAAGTAAAAAACTATCGATAGAAAAATAAAAAAAATAAACACCCTTTATTACCTTATCAATACCCATAGATTTCATCATGAGAAGAACACCGGTGACAGGAACTTTAGTAATTTCCGGAGAAGAAAAATCAGAAAAAACATTGCCAAAAACTGCAGATGAATACAGACGGTAACAGTGCCCAGGCCCTGTTCTCCCAGCTCTCCCAGCTCGTTGAGCCGCAGATGCTTTACTTATCCACTTGATTTCATATGCTGCCAACCCATTCCTGTGATTATAATTCTTCACCTTTTCTCTCCCTGAGTCAACGACATACTTTATACCTGGGATGGTTAAGGAGGTCTCCGCCACATTAGTAGCAACCACTACGAGCCTCTGACCTTCAGGTATATCTCTAAAGACACGAAGCTGCTCATCGGCAGGGAGCATCGCATAAAGAGGCAAAATGCACAGCCCACTATACTTAAAGGCCTCATTATCCTCAAGGACAGCAGTAATATCTTTACTCACTCTCTCCATGCGTTGACTTTCTTTGCGCAGCTTTTGGCATAAGTAATCTACTTCGCCCTTCCCTGTGACAAAGACGAGTTTCCCACCAAGAGGAAGGGTCCTATGAATTTGTATCACCTTCTTTGAAGCGAGTCTGAGGTAGTCCCCATAATCCCCTTTTCTTGAGAAGTGAATGGTCACAGGATATTGCCTTGTTGGGACCTCTAGAACAGCTGGGGGCTCATGGAACAACCTTCGATCTGAGATGAAGTCTTCAACGTGAAGAGTCGCATTCATAAGAACAAGCTTCAATACAGTTAGTGCATTCTCAGAGCTTGCTTCTGATCCCGCATGCATCTTCTCTTGCTGCTACATAAATAATTTCTGCATCCAAAATGTTACAGAATTAATGAGAAAAATTTACAAGGTAATAGATTTCTGTGAGGAATTGAAAATTCTAGGAGCAAATTCTCTACCTGGCGTAGCCACACAACCCGAGAGAGCATCCCAATAAGGATATCAGTGCTCAAGCTTCTCTCATGGGCCTCATCTATAATGATAATAGAGTACTGCCTCAACAATAAATCACTCTGCATAATGTGAAACAACCCGATTAATAGAAGAAGAGTGAAAAAATTTAACCATTTCCACTGGATCCTAATGGGAAAAAATAAAGATTCTTATCAACTTTGCAACAACAGCACATAAACGTATGCAATATATATATATATATATATATATATATATATATATAAGCAGAAAATAAACACTATGAAGACTAGAAATATTATCTCCTAATTCATGTCCATAAAAATACTTTAAATAGTATAAATACTGAACAGGCAGCACATCTTAGAAAATAATGCTGTAGAGGATTAGCATGATTGTCTGACGCCACAAAGTATGAACAGTTTTTTCAATTAATAGAGGCCGAAATGTAGGATCTAAATATCAAAATGCATAGTTTCATTGTACTCTTTCTCAAATTATTTAAAAGGAAAAAAGAAAAGTAAAAACCTGTAATTCGCGTAGTAAAATACCATCTGTCATGAACTTGATAGAGCAGTCCTCTCTTATCTTTTTCTCGTGTCTCACTTGGTACCCCACTTCCTTCCCAAGAGGAATATTAAGTTCATGAGAAACTCTTTTCGCAGTAGCAAGCACAGCAACACGACGGGGTAGAGTGATGCCTATTTTTCCTTTTCGGTGACCAGTGCCTCTTGATCCATACCCAGCTTCGTAAAGGAACTGCTTGTTTTATTATGTTTGAACCCAAAAGAACGAAAAAGAGAAAAGACCAGACTAGCACGACAATCTATTGACATAATAAAAAAATAAAAAAAAGGACCAACCAAGAAAGTTCCTCACAGTTCGAGAATACCTGAGGAACTTGAGCTGTCTTCCCAGACCCAGTTTCCCCACAGATGATGACAATAGAACTTCCATTGATGGCTTCCATTATTTCCTGCTCCATCATTACAATGGGCAGGCCCTTCCTTGCCTCCTCAATACTGCTGGACCTTGACACATGGACAACACTCGGACCCTCCACCGTTTTGCCCAAGGTAAGATCTGGGTGAAGAACAGTCTTCACATGATTGACTTCTGAACCAAGTTTTTCAAGACACTTCACCTGTAGAAGAATCACAGTGATTATGTCACAGTGCTGTTGAGCATATTCATGTTAAGCAAAAATTAAATTGTCAAAGCTTCATGCAATGACCAATTTTAGCAGCATCAAATCGATTCGTTTCTAATAACTACTTCAAAAATGATAGTTAGATATTTATTATCTTTTCAACCTGTCCATGCCTAACTTTCATGAACCTCGAATAGCCAAGTAGATGACATATGAAAGACGGATTGTCTGGATCGCTGAATGGTCACACAATAGAAATTCATAACGCTATACGTCAAAAACAAAACTTTTCAGCCCAGATTATAAGCCACCGATTAAACCACATCCTTTTGTCTTAATTGAGAACATGTTAAACCCCAAAAATTGTGATTTATAGAAATGTTATCATCATAACAGGTATGAACGAAAAAGTTACCAAGTGCTCCCTGTTGCATCAATGAACCGAAAAATGACTGACAAGCAGAATTTTCAAAGTCAGATGTCAGTCTCTGCCATTAATGTACAGCTTCATCCATCCCACCACTAGAAGTGTGATATCTCTTCATGCAATAGTCAAAGCCAGTTCAAAGAAACTCAACCAGATCTGCTTAAAGAATGGATACGCCAATAGTTTTAAAGATTGACAGTCTCTTTTGGTCAACTTTCTTAATGGAAGATCTTCAACTCCGGATGGTACAATGCGAGGTTGTATCTTTGATCCGTTAGGAAAAGAATATCCTGGACCTCAGCTGCTTAAAGAGAATTACTCTCCAACAGTATCACTGTTGGCACTTTATCCGAGAGACGGAAAGATATGGCATGAGGGTGTTTAACGTACTAGAAGGCTGGGTTGAAATGCAAAGTCACGTCAAAAATCTTCTTTTCTTCACAGAAGGGAACTAATAAGTAAATCCAAAAGCAAGCAATCATCTAAGCAATTGAAAAATAAAATGCCATCATTGGGCAGCTTCAAGAATTTATGAAAATCAGTCAGGTGATTGTGCGTGGCAAGAAAACGTTCTGTCGTAATTCTGAATATATGATGAAAATTCATGTCAGGATTTGGTCAACTAGTGATCGGGACACAGACTACATCTATTAGACTAACAATTCCACGGTTTTATGGCCTATGAAGGGAACTAACACTACATCTATTAGCGTCAGCCATTTTGTCCAGAAGATCTTACAACCAGCGTTCTTCAAAACAAAGCGAGGAGAGATATCGGCTCTCTGGTATAAACAGAGATACCCCAGAACCATAGGGATATCTTTGAAATTAATGAATACGCGTATAAAACCACATGTACAAAACAGGCACCGTAGTTGACCCGAAAAAGAAAAAAAAAGAAAAAAGGACTCCTCCCCACAAATATTTTAGAATGGGACACCTCGTCGCCCATTTATCAGATGAAGAAACTGGAAAAGTCAGACACTTTCGGCTCCCCACAAATGTTATCAGAGTACCCATCCTTGAACACTCTTAAGAAAAGCCTACCGGTCCCTTGCTGCGGGTGGCGCCGCCCATCTCCACGACAGGCGCGAAGACGTTGACCTTCGCGTTGACAGCCTTCCTGGGATCCACCATGGGCAGATCCACGTAGTCGTCTCTCGGGAGAGGACGAGGAAGAAAAGGAACAACAGGAAGGAACAAGCCCGCGCCCACCTCCAACGGCCGTTTCAAATCCCCCGCCCCCCGGCATATTTACGTACACCTATTACTGGGTTATTACTAAGTGGGCCGGACCAGTAATCTGTATCCGGACAGAAATCATCTTCAGGCGGTGAATATATGGGCTGGCCCATTAACTGTGCAAGCCCATAAATGATTCATTCGATTTTGAGGCCCATCTAAAAATGAAGCCGGAAAAATAAAGCCTCTCTCTCTCTCTCTCTCTCTCTCTCTCTCTCCCACCCCATTAATGGAATATTCTAGAGATAGAAAGTGAAGATGAAACTTTTTAGTTTATTTACATGATACTTTTATAAAGGGAAAAGAGCTGGGAATATCCTAAAAAACACCCCTTTTTTTCTTCTTCTTAGAAGTGGAATGTTTAGGTTTGCCTTTTTTAGTTTATGGGAGGTGCTTGTTCCTAATAAAAATTTATAAAAGGTTTTTCAGAAATGAAAGTATTGATTTGTCAAAGTTTTTAAATGGTTATTGAATTCATTATTTTCCTTAAGCGTAAAATCATCAAAATTCAAACCTAACTAATCAAAATATTTTTGAACTTAAAAAATCTGCCAGTGCAGAAAGCTTTCTTGGAGAGGAATTGAATATAGAAAACCGCTGTGTCTCGCTCTCTCACTCTCTCTTAGACAAGTTAGTTCAAAGTAAATTAGCTCTTCAGTATGACAAGACCGACACTGGGCTCCAGTGATCGGCCATCTTTTATCCGCAGTTATCCATCCCCTCACGCAACTCGGTCAACCAGCCAAGAAAAATGAAGCAGATGAAGATTCCGCGTAGAAGAAGAGCTGGGCTTGATGCGGGCGTTTTTATTGGCGAATGTGACGCCCGAGGAAATTGGAACCCATCACCGCCGCCCGTGCTCTTTTTAAACTGGGGAAGGAGAACATTCGGATCCCAGAGACCACCGGCGGCGGGTGATGGGGCTTCGTATCCCTGCTCCCTTCCTCTTCCTCCTCCTCGTCCCCATACTGTCTGCTGACTCCGCCACCGACCGAGAGGCTCTCCTCTCCTTCAAGGGGCTGATCTCCGACGACCCGCTGGGAGCGATGGACGCCTGGAACGAGTCCACGCCGCTTTGCCGGTGGCGCGGCGTTACATGCGGCGGCGGGACGGCGGAGCGGGTGACGGAGCTGGCGCTGAACGGGCTACGGCTGGCGGGGCAAATATCCCCCCGCCTCTCCAGGCTCGCCTTCCTCACCAAGCTCGACCTCTCGGCTAATCGTCTCGACGGCGCCATTCCGGGGGACCTCGGCCGGCTCGCCGCCCTGCAGCGAGTCAACCTCAGCATCAACTCCCTCATCGGCGAGATTCCCTCCACCCTGGGGAACTGCTCCGGGCTCCAGTACATGAGCCTGAGGGACAACAAACTACGCGGGAGGATCCCAGGGAGCATCAGCAATTGCGCCAATCTGGAGATCCTGAGCTTCTCCGGAAATAACCTCGACGGCGAGATCCCGCCGGAGCTGGGCTCCTTGCCGAAGCTCCAGTACCTCGGACTTTCCTTCAACAATCTCAGAGGGCCTATCCCCTCTTCCCTCGCGAACATCTCCACTCTCACCACTCTCGAACTCATAAGCAACAGCAAACTCGGGGGGAAGATTCCGCCGGAGCTGGGCTCCCTCCCCAAGCTCCAGTTCCTTAGACTTTCCTCCAACAATCTCTTCGGGTCGATCCCTTCCTCCCTCGGGAACATCTCCACACTCAGCTCGCTCGATCTCTCAAATAATAGCCTCCGAGGAAGCATCCCGCCGGAGCTCGGGAACCTCTCGAACCTTACAGCGCTCTCCCTCTTCACCAACGAGCTCACCGGTGCAATACTTCCTCGGATGGGGAATCTATCCAAGATGACCCAACTCTATCTTAACGAGAACCTCCTCGAAGGGGAGATCCCCGGCGAGCTCGGCGGCATGAAAAACCTGAACATCCTCGATGTGTTTCAGAACAAGTTATCGGGCAGGATTCCCCCTTCTGTCTGGAATCTCTCCTCTCTTATTCTACTGCATGTCGGGTATAACCAGCTCTCCGGCCCTCTCCCGGGGGGCCTCGGAGAAACCCTCCCCAACCTAAAGAATCTCCATCTGTTTGGGAACCAGTTCATAGGGACCCTTCCTCCGTCCGTCTCTAACGCCACCGGCATGGAGGTCCTCGAGGTCGCCGAAAACAGACTTGGAGGGGTGATCCCTCCCGATCTGGGAAAGTTGCAGAACTTGAGATTGCTGGACTTTTCCGGCAACAAGTTCCAAGCTCTGGATGAAGAGGACTGGAGCTTCCTCACCTCTCTGACAAACTGCAGAAGTTTAGAGAAGCTGGAGCTTCAGAACAACAGCCTGGGAGGAGTTCTCCCCCCCGCCATCGTCAACCTCTCAAGGAAGCTGAATACTCTGCGCATCGATAGGAATCAAATCGGCGGGATGATTCCCGAGGGGCTGGGGAACCTCGTCGGGCTCAGTATGCTCTACATGGGCGGTAATCTCCTCGCGGGCGGAATCCCCGTCTCCATTGGGGAGCTAACAAATCTGGAGGGGCTGAAACTGGAGGAGAACATGCTTTCCGGTGAGATCCCACCTTCGCTGGGGGGTCTCTCTAACCTGTCAGAGCTCTCCCTGGGAGGGAATCTGCTGGAGGGGAGGATTCCCACAGCCTTTGGAGGCCTGAGAAATCTCGAGGCCCTGAATCTCTCGGATAACAATCTCCATGGCGAAATACCCAGGGAGATCCTGTCTCTCACCTCTCTCTCCCGCCACCTCGATCTATCCGGGAATCGTCTGATCGGGTCTCTGCCCTTGGAGATCGGCAAGTTGAAGAATCTGAAGACCCTCGACCTCTCGCGGAACGGATTATCCGGCGAGATCCCGTCCTCCATCGGCGGTTGCCAGGTCCTCGAGTTCCTCCTCTTGGAGAGCAACCTCTTCCAAGGAGCCATTCCTTGGGCGCTGAGCAACCTTAAAGGAATCCAAGAACTCGATCTCTCGGGCAACAGACTATCAGGGAAGGTGCCGGAGTTCCTCGAGGGTCTCAGTCTCCTCCGGCGTCTGAATCTCTCCAACAACAGCCTCGAGGGGGAGGTACCCCGCGGCGGGATCTTCGAGAACGCCAACGCAGTTTCTCTCGTTGGGAACAACGGTCTCTGTGGGCGCAACCCGGGGCTGCTGCTCTTGCCGTGTCAACGGCGGAGAAACTCCGTCGCGATCAAGGTCGCCGTCCCCCTCGGGGTCATTCTGTTCGTCGTCCTGCTGGCGGCTTCCCTCTTCGCCTACCGCTCGAAGAAGAAGAGCTTGGGGGAGAAGCCGCCGCCGTCCCATCTCGGTAAAATCTCCTACGAGGAGTTCCACCGATCCACCGGAGGGTTCTCTCCGGACAACATCGTCGGGAGAGGAGCCCACGGCTGCGTATACAGAGGGAAGCTGGGGAAAAGGAGTATGCCCGTCGCAGTGAAGGTGCTCGAGCCGGGAAGCGCCGGCGCCGCGAAGAGCTTCATGGCGGAATTCGAGGCCCTAAGGAATGTCCGTCACCGGAACCTGGTCAAGATCTTGGCTTCCTTCTCCGGCGCCGACTTCCAAGGCAACGAGTTCAAGGCTCTGGTCTACGAGCTCGTGCCCAACGGCTGTCTGGATCAGTGGATCCACCCAGAGGACTTCGACGGCCCTAGGCCGACGAGGAGTCTGGGCCTTGTTCAGAGATTGAGTATCGCCGTTGACGTCGCCCACGCAATCGAGTACCTACACCAGTGCATAGACAGCCCGATAATCCACAGCGATCTGAAGCCGAGCAATATTCTCCTGGATGACGGGATGACCGCCCGGGTAAGCGATTTCGGCCTTGCGAGGTTCCTCACCTCTGGATCGTCCCACTGCACCATCGGTTCGGTCGGATTGAAGGGGACGATCGGGTACGTCGCCCCAGGTACGAAATTCCACTGCTGTTCTCGAGCCGACGGTCTGTTTCTCGGTCTAAACCGAAGAGTTTGGTGATTTTAGTACGTTTAATGGAGCGAATTTTGTGTTTATTAATGCAGAGTTGGCGACGCTGGGCAGAGTCTCCACGGCCACCGATGTCTACAGCTTCGGGATACTGCTGCTGGAGATTTTCACGGGGAAGAGACCCACCGACCCCATTTTCGTGGAGGGGCTGTCCCTCCACCGCTTTGTCAGGGAGGCGCTCCCCCATCAGGTGATGGCCGTCGCAGATCCACAGCTGCTTCCCGGGGAAGGAGAAGAGGAGGACGGAGATGGAGGAGCCGTCGTCAATCTCCGGAGGAACCCGATGATCGAATGCCTCATTTCCGTGCTCAAACTCGGGTTGCTGTGCTCGGAGGAATCACAGAGGGACCGCCCGAGAATTAGGGACGTCGTCAAATCGTTAACTCTCACGAGGGACGCCTTCCTTCGTTCTGAATCCCGTCTTGGATATCACGCGAGACGGGTAGAGATAGAGATAGATAGATAGATTGATAGATAGATAGATTGATAGATAGAGAGAGAGAGAGAGAGAGAGAGGGAGAGGGGGAGGGAGAGAGAGAGAATATGAACTGTTGACTTTCATTACAGCGGCTCGTATGAACGGAAAGAATGTCTTTCAGATATCCAATAATGGAAGTTCCTTTAATCAACCACAGTGTATAAAAAATCACTAATTCGAATTTATTATTATATCTCAAGTAATAAAGTCATCACCAAGTTGAGGGCGAGCTGAATCTACGTAGAGTGAGAACAGTCAAACCGCGTGTAAGTAAGTTAATCCAAACTCAACACACTTAAGTCGAGTTTGTCAAACGCGCCTATATGGCGGCTTGACTTTAAACTCAAAATGGAAAGAGGTCTCTTTCGACCCACAAAAAAGTCATAGAAACGATAGACGTGCGTCGCGTGGACTATCGTGTGGATTTCCGTGTTGATTCATGAGCTACCGGGCCGGTTACAGAGTCCCATGGTGCTGGTGAATGGGTCCGGTCCGTTGGCTGTGTCGTCGAAGCCCCCATGCTATTCTAATCTGAAAAATTTTCTTCATACTCCGATAGCATGGATGCAACGAAAATACGCCATAATGAAGATCCGAAAAACATATATTAATTTATTAAGCAATTTTTATTACAAAACATTATGTAGGAGCTTTCTAAGAATAACGCTGACTTGGTCATTCTTGTTACCAAATCATCCTACTGAATCGAGTCAATGGCCAATGAGCCCGCTTGGCTGGTCTCTCAAGGAGGAATCTATGTAGAAGATGTTCCACCTTCCTCCCCACATCTCCCAGCAGCTACCATCAGCAAGCAATCCGAGAAACTAGCAATAATGGAAGTGACAATCTTGAACATGATCAAACCATGGTATAATATTGCAACAGAAGAAATTGGTTGTTGATAGGGAGGACCTAGGAGCTCCAAAACTTGAGTTCAACTGGCTCAGGTTCACTCCATTTTCATTAGGTAGTGAAGGACAAGAAATACCGATGAAGGTCTACTTTTATTTCACAACAGGTGTGTAAAGCATCATAAGTGAATATAATGAAAATATTTATTCTCAATAAAAAAAATGTTATTTATTAGATAAATATGAGGATAAAATGGTGGGGAATATATTAACCTGCTTTTATTGAATGTGGGTAAGGAGTACAACAAGAAAATTCCATGGAAACTGTGAGACCTGTGTTTTTAGGAAATTCAATTGCCAAGGATGGATTATGGGCCTTTTCGATTCACATCATGAATAGGTGATCAAGAGTACAAAAAAGTAGAGAATTTTTTTGATGTACTGCTGTCATCTTCTTCTATCTTTTCTATCCATGAGGATTAAGTTCAATCTGAATTTGTTACTGTAATGTTGTAACATGCCTAGTAGGTATGTGAAAAGTAGAAGGAAAGAGGTGTCATGCACAAGTTCTTTTGGTTATTGATGACTTACGCCTTTCTTGTGCCTTAACAATATCTAACTAAAGCATTAACTGTGTGAACTTAGCCATCTCCCTCAACTTTTTGTCAAAAAAGAGAACTCCCAACAACACCAACAGAGATGGCTATAAAAGTAGTAACAAGCATGTGAAAACATACTTGATATCTTTACTATGGATAAGAGAAGAACATCACATACAATGCTTTTTTGTGTGATCAATTCTTGTATTATTTTATATTGCATTCTAATTTAGGATCAAACTTAAAGGGGGAGACAATGAAATGAAGTGATGACTAAACAATTTGGGGCCGTGAAAATGGTTATGCATCAAAATATAAGGAATTATACTATTTGTCTTTGTTGTACCCATTCATTGCTAAAAGTCTAATGTCTATATATATCTTTTTCAACTTAATCAAAAAAGGAATCATATCGATCGTGGTGTCTATACTACTTTGTACAATGATAAAGGGAAGCAAATTGAACTATAAAAATGGTTATGAGCCTCTAAAGCATATGGAAAATTTTGATTTTCTACTTTTATCTAAATTGTAAGTTTAAGAAGACTACTTGTATGAAAGTCTCATTTCTCTAAATTTCATACTCTTTAATTCAGAAAGGATAAGAAACAATTGATCTTAAAATAATAAGAAAATATATATTTTAAAAAACGTGACTTTGATTGACTCCAAGTCTTTCTATTTTAGTAGGTCTTTGACTTCGAGTGTAATTTTCATGATCTGCTAATCCCACATGATTATTACTATCTGTGTTATAACTATAGGGCTATGCAAAACATCGAGGGATAGTGACTTACAGTTTCTAAGATTTTTGTGATTTTATGATTTAAGTTAAATCTATCTATGTATAAAATAGTAGATGTCAACAAATATATACTGCAATAAGACCTCTCAATTGTCTCTCACATAAAACATCAAGATTTTTATATTAGTTCACCAGTCACCCCACTACTTTCCCTCCTCAAATGGAACTTTCTTCTAATATTTAATTCTTTTAAGAATTACACATTGATATTCATGGGCTCAACCGCCTTAATAGCTTAAGTTTGTCTCCTCAAATATTTAACTCCTCCTAAGCTAAATATGATTACCAACACCTCATGTATTTTCTCAAAACACTCTCCTCATCACCCAATTACCTTAAGCTCTAATGGAGAGTATGAATTGTATGATAATAGAGTTGATTTTTTTACTAAAATCAATTGAAAAAGATGATGCAGTGTCCTTACACATTAATAATGCATGCAATATAAAGAGCTTGATGTTTAATCTTTAATATTTATAGATTTAAAAAGGCTTTTTATCTAGAAATATTCTCTCATAAGTGAGCCTTTGTCTTCTTATAATTTCTCGATTTTATTGAATCTCCAATATTCAAGATCTTTGTTCTAAACATATCATTTTATGAAATACTTTAATGAGCTTTGTACCTTTTAATATTTGCATCTCCTTATTCCCTTGTCCTTTTTTGTTCAAATTTGACCAAGAGTTTTCTAAATTCACAAAGAATGATTGTAGCTTGAATCCAAATCATCAATTTTACTATGAACTTTTGTCCATGTAGGCAGCTCATGTGTTGTGGTCAAGATGATGCATTGGAAACTTGAATATCTTTTTCCTTTTCTCATTTTCTTGATGATTTAATTCACGTGAAATCTTAGGGACTTGTCTATCTTCATTTTAAAATATTAAAAATTACATAATACGGTTAGATAAATACATAACTAAAGCTAAAATAATTTGCATGTTTTATTTATACCCATTTAACTATATACTTTCTCTTAATATCAAATGTTTTAAGATAAATACTTTCTCTTAATAACTAAAGATAAATACGTAATTTATTTTAAGATGATTGTTCAACTGATATTATTTGTTGATCAAATGTTTATTAAGTGAAGAATCACTTAATATCAATGATTAATACATTACACACGATTATTAGTGATAATATTATAAAATAAATATAGATAATTCATATAATATCTTTTTTGAATGTATTGAATATTTGAGACTATCCCTCCCTTTTTTATACTAAGAAAACTATGGAGAAAATTGTTTCAAATATATAAGGATGATATATTATCATAAATATTGCATATTCATTGAACTTAGTCATCATGAGAAGATATAAGTCATCAAAAAAATTTAAAATTTCATTCACATATAAGAGTTTCGATATTTATCGATCAACACTCATTATTCACAATAGTCACAAGCTCAACCTTAATGATTGCTCCTCTTAAATATGTGTACTTGCTTAATTCTTTTCATCTCGATATTTATTCTCCTTTTTGTAATATCATAAAGACCAAAAAACTAGGTGAAGCAAAACTAGATTCGATTAAAAATCATAGGAAAAAATATTTGATGTAAGATATGTTGTCTTCAAGTTATCATGGTCTTTCCTCCACTCGATCAATACTTTTTGTTGAATTTCTTAACAAAATGTAGAAGGCCAAAAAAGTAAGAACATTGTGGATGGATAATAGATCCACTGGTCATGATATAGAATGTAATGCACATGTACTAAAATAAATTTTTTGATTGTATCATGGTGGTAACAACTAAATGATTCTTCCTCTGTTAGGTTTACTTGAAAATGCTAGAGAATAATACATAGTAAGAGAATCATATCATATTTGATGACTATTTTCATTTGATCAAAAAATATGGCACAAAGGTTAACAAGAATACCTTATAAAATGTAATGAAGTAAGGATACAAAATTGTCTATCAATTTGGTATGATTTAATATTATCCACACATGCAAATGTAATAAGAGTTCTAATAGCAGCAAGCCTAGTTACTAGTGTATCAGTTTGTTTATAATCAATTCATTCTTCTTGGACATAACCTTGAGCAATTAGTATTGCCTTATTTATTATAATTATTCTTTGTTCATTTAATTTATCTCTAAAGGCTCATTTTATTCCAACCATATTTTCAGGATCAGTTATTGAAACCAAATATTAAACATAATTCTTTTGAATTTTTTCTAATTATTCATGCATAATATTCATCGAATCTAAATCTAGAAGTGCATCATCTACATTTTTGGTTCAATTTGTAAGATAGATGTCATGTGAATATTTTATTTTAGGGCTGACTTAATGTTTGACCTTATTATGTAAATTTTATGAGACATTTTGCTTTAGATAAATCTTTGACTATTTCCAAGTGAGGTATTCATTTTTGGGTGAAGATCTAAGTGTGACAATTTTTTCATTCTCTTGAACTTCATTTTAAGTTGCATCTATTTTCTTCATTGATCTCAATCTCATTTGAAGTAATATTTTGTAATATGGGTTGTTCTATAAATTTCATATGAATGTATTCTTCAAGAACAAAAGTTATTTTATTATATATTATCTAAAACTTTGATTTTTTAATGTATCCAACAAATATTCCTTCTTCATTCTTCTAATGTAACTTTCCAAGTTCCTCTTCCATTATTTAGAATAAAAAAATTATTTATAGTTTTATTCTTAAGTAAGTCATAAGGTTTTAGGAAGATTGCTAGCATGATGTGTCGTGCGTGGCTGCTGGTATAGATGAAGAAAGGCGGGCCGCTTGAATGGTTCAGTAGGAAGATTACTCGCACCCAACATGATTCTATATGTCCGTAATGCTCTCAAGTAAACACGCCTAGCTCAGATTGGGTACGAATCCAGCCAAAAACCCTACAGATTCTCTCTCTCTCTCTCTCTCTCTCTCTCTCTTAGAGCATTAATAATATCCTCGACATCTTTCATGTCCTCTCTCTTTCTCTATAATATTCTATCATAAAAGTAAAGTCGACCAAGTAATAGGTACCTATAAGCAAAAAAATTAAACATAAACATTCCATTTTTTAAGTCACATTTTACCAACAAATCACTATTTTTTCTTAGATTATGACTTGTAACTATTTTCCTGAACATACATATGAAATAAATATAGTGAGGATCACTATGAGCTTCCCTATCTCTCTCGATGGAATGTTCAAAAGAGAAATAAAGAGGAGATGAAGGATGTTGGGGGATTATTGAAGCGCTTATGGGGGGGGAAGGGACAGAGAGAGAGAGAGAGAGAAGCCCATAATGAGCGTCACTATTTTATGGCATGTTTATACTAAATGAAAACAGGTATTATTCATCGTTTAAGAAAATAATAATGGTTCATTACTAAAAAAATGATCTACAAAACACCTCTTTTTTTGAGAAGTGGAACGTTTCGGTTTGGCTTTCTAGGTTCTCGGGGTGCCGATTACCTAATTTATTTATGAACTGAGGACAAAATGCCTGTTTGCTTACCAAAAGTGGTAGCTTTTCCTGTCTTGGAAACTTTATCCGGGTAGCGTGTTCCCGAAGACCTGGTTTTCCGGGGGACTTTAGATCTGAATGGATGGTGTTCATGCGACTGAATCGAGTTAACGGCCGATGAGCACACTTGGCCTACCTCTGAGCGATCTCCCGAGCCACGGCGCCCCGTAGCGGCTCCTCTAACCCGCTGGAATCTAGAAGATGACGGTGCCCGGCAGATGTTCGACCTTCGTTCCCATATCTCCTAGCAAACCATCTCCGCCGCCCCGTCGACGGAGCCCGGCGGGTGGCGGGCGGCGGCCGGCGGCCGGCGGCGACGAGAGATGACAAATCGCCACCAACCACGCCGACGCTCGAGCCAGCAACGGATTGCGGCCATTATGTGGATTTTGGCTTCTCCGTCTCTCCGACCCGCTGGAATCCAGAGGATGGCTGTGCCTGGCAGCTGTTGGGCCTTCGTCTTCACGTCTCCCGGCTGGCACCTCTCGCAGCCCTGTCGGCGGAGCCCGGCCGGTGGCGGCCGGCGGCCGGCGGCGATGAGAGATGACAAATCGCCACCTACCCCGCTGACGGTCGACCTGCAACAGATTGCACCAGAAGCCGGGCCCTTGCCAGTTGCCCTCACCTCATCTCTCCACCCCTCTCTCTCTCTCTCTCTCCATCCCTCCCCCTCTCTTTCTCTCCCTCTCTAGTTCTCTCTCTCTCTCTCTCTCTCTCTCTCTCTCTCTCTCTCTCTCTCTCTCTACTCGGTTTAAATAGCAGGAGGGATCGTCTTCTCTATATCTCATATTTGGAGATCCGGAGGGGGAGGAACCGGGGTATTTGCATCTGATCAATGAACTTCAGAGAATCGAGGTCTTCCTGTCTAATTAATGAGTTTTTAATGGTTGCTTCTAGATTTGGATTCGGAATGGGAAGAACGTGTGGATGGATAGTTCTCTCTCTAGGCCTGCTGGTTTCGGTCGGGAGAGGCCCCGCAAGTCAGTTTGCAGATGCAGCTTGCGACCAATATGTGGATATTACTTATCTCCAGAATGCTGCGGCCAAGGGAGCAGGTTCCACTCCTCTCCCTCTCTCTCGATCTCTCGATCGCTATCTATCTACTATCATATGCGTAACTATCAATCCATTTCTCTCTCTCCCTCTCTCTATCTATTTATTGTCATTGCGTAACTATCAATCCATTTCTCTCTCTCCCTCTCTCTATCTACTTATTGTCATTGCGTAACTATCAACCCATTTCTCTCTCTCTCTCTCTCTCTTTCTACCTTTACAGGTAACTATCTACCCATCTCTCTCTAACTATAAGCACACCCATCTACCGATTCCTGTTTATCTTTCTCTCCATCTATCTAGTATCTCTCACTCTCTCTCGCTAAAGATTCTCCGGGCTCACCGCAACCGTTTGACAGTCTGCCTGGACGGGAGTCCACCGGCTTACCATCTCTTCAGAGGCTTTGGAACCGGACTCAACAACTGGCTCGTCCATCTCGAGGTGACCACCTCCGACAGAACCGAATTCCTCATTTATTTCTCTCTCTCTCTCTCTCTCTCTCCCCAAATGGGTGGTGTCTCCTACTCATTACAGAGCCTGGCTTATTTTGTTATTTAGCACCGTAAAGTGAAGGCTTTGGTCCACAGGGGGGTGGATGGTGCGACGACGTCTCTAGCTGTCTCGCCCGGAAGAACACCAACTTGGGCTCCTCCACAGCTATGGAGAAGCAAGCCCAGTTCGCCGGAATCTTGAGCAGCAATCAGCAGTGCAATCCAGGTCGGTACCTTCATATACAATGCAAATATTCCAAATCTTGGTCTTAATACATTTGGTCTCGCACCTCTATAGTTCTTATATTTTAAATCAGAAATGTCTTGTTAACTTATCTCTAATCTATCATCAAGATGTATACTTGCAAATCTTGGTCCTAAATACCAAGATTTCAAATGGGTTTAGTTTTATGTCCAAAAATATTTTTTAGGGTATGAATAATTAATTTTTATCAGCTGTATTTATATCGTAAATACTATCCCAATCTTTGTGCTAATATCCAGATTTCAAATGGGGTTTTAGCCTCTCATCTCTATTATTATTGTACTTATGTCTAATTTTCTTTTTTAAGAGTATGAGTGACTAATTTATCATCAAGATTTATATTGCAAACACTATCCCAAAATCTTTGTGTTCATACGCAGATTTCGAATGGGGTCTTAGCCTCTCATCTCAGTTGTTCTTGTATTTATGTCCAATTTTCTTTTTTAAGAGTATAAGTGACTAATTTATCGTCAAGATTTATATTGCAAATACTTATCCCAAAATTTTGTCTTAATTCCCAGATTTCAAATGGGGCTTTAGTCCCTAATCTCTATAAATTTTGTATTTGTGTCCAATTTTCCTTTTTTTAAGAGTATGAGTGACTAATTTATTGTAAAGATTTATATTGCAAATACTTATCCCAAATTTTGGTCTTGATACCCAGATTTCAAATGGGGTTCTAGTCTCTAATCTCTATAATTTTTGTATTTATGTCCAATTTTATTTTTTTATAGAGTATGAGTGACTAATTTATCGTCAAGATTTATATTGCAAATACTATCCCAAATCTTAGTCTTAATACCCAGATTTCAAATATTTTAGAATGAAAAATATGGTTTAAGCATATGAGAGACTAATAAAGATATATGTAGGAGAATTCATGCTAAAAGTGTTATTTACCCGAATTATGTGTTATTTATTAGATTTCCATTTTTTACCACGTGTTTATCTTATGGTAACTGCATCATAACGTTTTTCAATCCAAATATATTATTGCCACGAATTTTTTTTTACGCAAAATAATGAAGTTTCTAACCTGGGTTATTCCCCGAAATACAGTTATTAATTTCAGCATTTTTTTATTTTCCAGATTTCTATAATTGGAACAAGGTGAAGATCCGCTACTGTGACGGCTCCTCATTCACTGGAGACGTGGAAGAAGTGGATCCCGTGAGCACTCGTCCACGCTTATAATCTTGGCCACATAAGCCCAAAATCTTGGCCCAGCTCAGCACCTTGCTGAGCCCACTACTATGAAGCTCATTTTTACTGCCACGTGGCATTCCCACCCCCCTCTGCCCATTTGACAGCATCTCTCTCTCTCTCTCTCTCTCTCTCTCTCTCGCTAAGATAACCCAGGCCGGGACCGCCCTCGCTCGAGCCTCTACCTTTGACTACATATTAATATCAATAATAATAATAAAGTTGAGAGATATTTTCTTTCAATGCCAGAGTTTCTAAATACTTTTGGTGCCATTTTCTTCGATGGGCAGTCCACCAATCTCCACTATCGCGGGCACAGGGTCTTCATGGTGGTGATGGAAGAACTACGGTCGAGAGGGATGGACCGTGCAGAGAATGTAAGCCGACTAGTGCTGTTTTCCGAATGATCTTCTATCTATTTATCTCTCTCTCTTTCTCTTTCTCTCTCTCTCTCTCTCTCTCTCTCTCTCTCTCTCTCTCTCTCTCTCTCTCTATCTCTATTTATCTATCATCTATATATATATATATATATCTCCTCTATTTATCTCTCTCTCTCTCTCTCTCTCTCTCTCTCTCTCTTTCTCTGTATCTCTATTTATCTACCTATCTATCTCTCTATCTCTCTCTCTCTCTATTTATCTATCTATCTATCTTTCTATCTGTCCTGTGTTTCTCTTGTGGGTGATTTGGCCTTGAGACACGTGGCAGGCACTGCTTTCTGGGTGCTCGGCGGGCGGTCTGGCTTCCATGTTGCACTGCGATGGGTTCCGCTCCCTATTGCCCGGGGGAGCCAGGGTCAAGTGCCTCGCAGATGCCGGCTTCTTCATTGACGTGTGAGTTTACCCATTCTGCTTTCTGGTTTCTCACTCTACCTTTACTTCAATGGGTTCTCTCTCTCTCTATCTTTACTTCAACATATTTTATCTCTCCCTCAATCATTACTTCAACAGCCTATCTCTCTCTCTCTCTCTCTCTCTCTCTCTCTCTTTCTATCTTCACTTCGACATCTCCTCTCTCTATATCTATCTATTTTCACTTCAACGTCTTCAGTCTGTCTGTCTGTCTGTCTGTCTGTCTCTCTCTCTCTCTCTCTCTCTATTTACTTCATCATCTTCTGCATCTTCTGTCACTCTGTGTTTTTTACTTCAACATTTTCCAACTCTTTCCCTCCCTCTGTCTCTCCACCTCTATTTCTACCTCATCTTCTCTCTCTCCCTTTACTTAAACATCTTCTGCATCTTCTGCCGCTCTCTATTTTTGCTTCAACATCTTCCAACTCTTTCGCTCCCTCTATCTCTCCACCTCTATCTTTACTTCATCCTCTCTCTCTCTCTCTCCCTTCACGGTTCATTGGGCCCCGGAACCTGAAGTAGAGAGAGAGAGAAAGACGTAAAAGGAAGGGGGGGGGTTTATTTCGAGTAGTTGACGTTGACGGAGACGCCTCTTATGGTGGTAGGATGAGCATCGACGGAAATCGTACAATCAAATCATTCTACGACGGCGTGGTCAACTTACACGTAAGCTAGACACTTAAATTGACTTATTTTTCGATGATTACGTCATCGTAATTCCATCTCACATGGTCGGTGGTCGGGCAGGGATCGGCGAGACACCTGCCGCCCTCCTGCACTTCCAAGATGCCCCCCAACACGGTGAGTTCCGAAGAAAAGCGTCAAGAGAGAGAGAGAGTTAGGGCTGAGAGTTGCTCATGGATTCTTCTGGGCAATGCAGTGCTTCTTCCCGCAGTACATGGCTTGGCGAATCCAGACGCCTCTCTTCCTGCTGAACCCGGCGTATGATTCATGGCAGGTCAACAATCTCCTCTCTCTCTCTCTTTCTCTCAAGACTACCAAAGCGACCGTAGATTCACCTTCCTCTCTCTATTCATCCTCCTGTAACTCTCTATCTCTCTCTCTAACAATCTGCTCGTGAACGTATCCACTTGACTGCCTACGTAGTGTTCTACTCTCTCTCTCTCTCTCTCTCTCTCGCTATCTCTATCTTTCATCGTTTCTACTTGGCGTAACCTTGGGCTGGGTGCTCAGATATCGAACGTCTTGGTTCCGTACACTGCGGATCCCTCAGGAAGCTGGAAGTCGTGCAAGACGGACATAAAGCAGTGTTCTCCCCCTCAGCTCGACGTCCTTCAACGTGAGTCCTCTCTCTTTCTCTCTCTCTCTATCTCTCTCTCTCTCTCTCGCTCCCCCTCTCTACCTTTCTATCTCTAGATGCATGTATTTCCAACCCTCCTAACTGCGTCGCTCTCCCTCTTACACAGTTCATGTGGTGATCTCCGTCGCCTTTTCTATTCATTCATCCACCTCTATCACCCCCTAACAGATGCTTTTATTTGTTTCTCTCTCTCTCTCTATCTATCTCTATCTCTCTCTAAACAGGCTTTCGGACGTATTTTCTCGAGGCAGTAGGAGGTCTGGGGTCTTCCTCGTCTCGAGGGATGTTTATAAACTCGTGCTTCGTCCACTGCCAATCCGAGGACCAGCGGACTTGGCTATGGCAGGACTCCCCAACCCTTCACTCCACTGTAAGCTACCGTCTCTCTCTCTCTCTCTCTCTCTCTCTCCACATCTCTTTGGTCTGTTCTCTATCTCCTTCTCTACCCATCATCTCTCTCTCTACCCATCTCATCGGTCTCTTCCCATCATCATCACCAATCTCTCTCTCTCTCTCTCTCTTTCTCCCTCTATCTTCTCTCCCTGTGTTTTTGCCCGTCATCTCTCTCTCTCTTCTCCCCAAAACCCTGTTTTTTCTATCGTAATTCTGCAGAATTCTGGTCGGGCGGTCCAAACGCCTGCCACGCAGCATCCCTCTGTCTACGTGTCTTTTCATCCCGTCTCCAGCGTTTTCCGAGGACTTTCCGGAAACCTACTACCGGTGTGCCGTTTGGGTCGCAGCAAATCGGGAAGGCCGTGGGGGACTGGTACTACGACCGGAGGGGCTTCCAGGAGGTGGACTGCGCGTACCCCTGCAACCCCTCTTGCCCCAAGTTCTACACGTACCACCCCATCATATTCTGACGTCACTTCCGCGTCATCCACTCCCCCTCTCTTTCTCTCTCAAGAAGCCCTCGGGGATGGACAGAAAGAGAGAGAGAGAGAGCGTGTGCTTTGGTTAGAGAGAGGAATTCTCTGTAAAGACTGGTATGTAAGAAAGAAGGAAATCTTAGGATGCTCTCTCTATCTCTCTCTATACCGTTGATCTTTCTCTTTATCTCTACCCTGCTGACCGCTCTTACTCTCTCTCTTTCTTTCTTTCTCTCTCTATCTATCTATCTATCTCACTCCACGCAGAAGAACCTTCGGGGACGGACAGGAAGGGAGGGGAGAGAGAGCGCGTGTGTGATGAATATCTGGAGGAGAGAGAGAGAGGAATGATGAGCTCTGTATATACCGGTATGTTAGAAAGAAGACAATCTAGGATGGTCTCTCTCTCTCTCTGTATCTTTCTCCCTCTCCACGCAGAAGAAGCCCCGGGGAACGGATAGAAAGGGAGAGAGAGAGAGAGAGACCATACATATAGATATATATCTGTTTCCCCTCTCTTAGAAAGAAATTCGTAGAGTGTTAATGGGCTTTGCTGAGTTTAAATACATCGCTACTCAGAAGGAATCCACCCCCGCCCCTTCCCTCCATAGCGCAGCCCTCCGAATCCTCCTCGGCGGCGCCGCCTCTGCCCGCGCGGCGGCCACCGGCGGCGAGAGAAAATATGGTGGGCAGCCGGCAGCGGCCAGAGACGGCGACGGTGGCGGAACTCCGGCCTCAGCTCGGTCTTCCGGCGAACGGGCGACGGAGGCGGCGGCGGCGGCTCCCCTTCACGAGGAGACCCGTCGGCTTCTCCCCCTTCTTTCGCTCCTTATCCTGCAGACTTCTCCGGCGCACTTCCATCTGCAAGGCCGGCGATCAAGCTGGGCTCAAGCCTCCGTTTAAAAGCTCCGCATCCCCGCCGCAGCCGACGGAATCAACTTCAGAGGAGGAGGAGGAGGAGGAGGACGACAGCGACATAATGGATGAAGACGACGACGACGAAGAAGAAGATGTGGGCACCTACTGTTTTTCTCCATTTTTTCCTCTTTGTTTCTCCTTACGCTTCGATCTCCCTGTCGAAATTTCTTTCCCTGTAGGTGGCGGAGGCGACGGTGCAGGTGGATTTTGGGTTCTTCGACCCAAAGCCGGGGGATTTCCATGGCGTGAAGCTTCTTCTTCGAAGTTACCTTGGCGACCGGGAGTGGGATGTCAGCGGCTTCGTTGACCTTATCCTTGGCCAGACCACCGTAGGGACGGTGGTCAAGTCAGAGAGCCCGGAAGGAGAAGAACAAGAAGAAGGAGAAGAGGAAGAAGCTGCTGCTAGCGGAGAAGGTGGAGAATCAGGCGAAGCTGAGGATGTGGGACCTTATGCTGTCATTACTGCCCTAAACCTGGGAAGATATGGGGTAATAATCATGGATGCATGAAAAATTTTATGATCGGTTTTTTGAATTTGTTGACATTCTGATTGCACCCATCTTGAAAAACCTCAACTTTCTTCGATCTTTCTCTATTGGGTTCGGCTGGTTTTGTCTATTTTATTTTTTAGTTCATGTTTTTTGATTTTTGATTTTAGTTCAAATTGCATCATGAACAATCTTTTCCACTGGCTTCTGCTATTCTATCTATCTTTTCAGTATAATTCTGCATAATATTATATGATTGTTCATTATATGTTGCATTTTTATTTCGATTTAAGCTGCTAAATTGTGAATTATCTGGTAATCTAGATGTCTTTTGAGCCGATGGCCTCATCGTTTTATTGTTTTTTTTTTCTTCGTTCTTCACAACAGACACATCAATGCATCAAGGAGCTGAAAAACTACATCCTTGAGGCATGCTGTGAGGATCTTATGAAGAAGAAGAAGCTACAACTCATGCTCAGCGGGGAGGGAGCACACGATGTTGGGCTCCTGGTCTGTGAACGCTTTGTGAACTTCCCTCATCAGCCAGTATCGCCCCTCTATGAAGGCCTCTTCGATGAGGTATCATGGGCGACCGAAGATGAGGTCGATCCGAGTTCTTGGTTCTATCTTGCTCGATGAACATAATAGTTCTGATTTTAGGAAAAGATGGGGCGTGTGTTTGATTGTTCTAATACTTACGTTTTTTTTTTCTCTTTTTTTTTCTTCTTCCAGCCGACACAGGAGCTTCGTGATTCCTTTCGATTCAAGTCCTATTTGATACTGACAAGAATCTTCATGGTAGGGAAATCTCAGATTCAGGGTTTTGAGTATCTTTCTGATCGAACATTCTGACTTCACTGATTGGGCATGTGGTCAACCCAAGATTCTAAGTTGGTTTTGATGATTTTTACTAATCATGCAAATATATTTGCTTCTGGATCATAATTTTTTTCCCCTCTGAAGTGCTCTTCAGATGGCTTTCTACTTGATACTTGCATGAATCTTCATGTATGAATGTCTTATGTCCTGGGCTTTTTATTATTATTATTATTATTATTATTTATCGAAGATGGTGATGTTACTCATTGGGTATTTAGTCAACCCAATATTCTAAATATGAGTTCTCATATTTTTTATGTATCATTTTAATATGTATATGCTTTTTAGAACATATTTGTTTCACCTGAAGTGTTCTTCCAACGGTTTTCCAGAGAAAGGACGCTGACTTTAGGGAAAGATCAAAGATCTCTTCAGGGAAAAAGGTAACAATATAAAATATGAAAACATTTTATGAATTCTTTAATCCCTATTTTTGTCCTCACATTCCATATTATCCATAGTTTCACTCTTTGATAGCGTTCTAATGCAATCTGTTCTTCGGAGTTTAGACCAAGAGAAGAGTTTCTGAGGATGATGAGTCTATTGTCTATGTAAAGGCTGAAGATGAAATCTTTCTTAAGGTAAAAATCTTAGTGCTCTAATATAGAGACATTGGATTATTTATAATCCTTAAAAAAACTATAATAAATATTAACCTTTCCTTTTGTGACCTCAGCTCTGCTCATTATCCTTCACCGTTGACTTACCACGTAAAGAGCAAGTGGTTCCTCCTGAGGTACGTTCCTTGTCGTGGCTAATTTCCAGCTTTCTATTATTGATTTTTTTGAAATATTTTGGTTTGAACATTATTTTTTTCATTAATTTGATCGTAATCTTTCTCTAACTTTGCTGGAATCAGTTAGATATTTTGATTAATGATCACTCCAACAGAAAAAAATAAATCAATTCTGCACAATCTGATTGGAGTTCAGATTGTGCAGAATTATTCTTTGAATGATTCATCAAGGTTCCATGCATTCTTGATTTTTCTAGGAACATTCTGATTTCCTTTTAATATATTTTTAATCTCCTTTTTCGGTCATTATCTGAGGATAAACACAAAAAAGTCGCCTTTTTCTGGATATTTATGATCTGAATCTGCCTGCCCACAAAATGATAGATGAATATTTTTTAATGGGTGAAAAATAATGAGAAATGTCCTGCTTGGGCTGCCCTTGAATGATCTAAAAATTATTGATATATTTTCAGCTGAAGGGCTACAAGGAGATGGCATTATTCATGGTTGTTGAATCATGCAAAGTGCCTGCTTTTAGGGAGGAGCTCAAGTCCTTTCTACTGGAAGATTGAATCCCCGAGGTCCCCCCTTTCTTTCTCTCTCTAGCTTCGATGTGTTCTCTCTCCTCATCACATTCTAAATAATTTCGTTTCTATTTCTGGGTATTTAAATTTTTTATTGCCCATTTGAAATCCAGACGGGGAAGAATATGAAATGGACCCCACCACTGCTGAAATGCGTGCACCATCGGGGCTGGGGGTCAACGGCCGAACGCTATTATTTTCTGAAGGAGTTTTCCTTCCACGTTGGGTGCGTTTTGGTCAATGCAATCTGGTGGGCAGGACTCGGCTTATTTATTTCGATTTTTTATTTATTTTATTGGGCTGGTTTTCGGCTCCGTTGACAGTAATTATCAATTATTTGAATTACCTCATAGTATTATATCAGGTATGTTTGAAACCTTCATCGATGATGGACCTCATCATACTTGGGGGGCCCACCGGCCTCCCAAGGCAGCGTTGACTGAACACTCTCATCGAAGTTTATGGCCTACGAAGCCCGGGGAGAGAGAGATGAGCTGTTGAAGAAGAGATAGATACAGAAAAAGATATATATATATAAAGAGAGAGAGAGAGAGAGAGAGAGAGAGAGAGAGAGAGAGAGAGAGAGAGAGAGAGGATGTTGAAGTAAAGATATGCGCAGAAATATATATATGTGCACATATATGTGTATAGAAAGAGAGAGAGAGAGAGAGAGAGAGGTGAAGTGGGCTGCTGGGCCATTGGGTCCCCAGAATTTTTGGTGGAGGCCCGATAAAGTTCGCCTTTCAGGAAGAAGACGAGGAAGAAGAGGGGAACAAAGGAAGAAGAGTAAGGGGGGAAGAGGGGGACCGTGGAGGAGTGGTGGCGCAGTCAGGGGCGGCGACGATGCTGAGGCGGTCGGCGGTTCGGGCCCTTCGAGATGGAGCCCCGGGTGGCGGCGCCCCCGCTGCACTGTGGGCGGCGACGAGGGGCTTAGCTCCGGCTGCCTCGACGGCGAGAAGCGATGGCTGGGCCGCTCTCCACGGCGAGCGGACGCTGGAAGGCGTCGCCTCTGAGAGTTTCTATGCCACCTCTCTCAAGGGCTTCCTCGAGGTTCGCTTGTGGTTACTTTACGATCTTCTCTTTCTCTTTCGCTGTTCTTGCTTAGGTTCGGTATGTGCAGATATACTCTTGCCCCTTCTCTTCGTCTGGTGATCTCCGTGGTTTTATCGAATTGAATGCGTATGTGGAACCTGGGGCTCTCGAAAACCTCATGGGTCAGTTGATATCTAGGGTTTAACATGGGTTTTTAGACCATAGCGGTTCGATTTATATGCAGAAAATGAATATATCTTATCGTGAGAATCATTTCATGCGGATTACATCACAGGAATCTCGTAGGAACGAGAGCAGCGGTCCCATGAACGCCTGGGGAATGCTTCTCCCCATTGGGTCAGTGTGGGTTTAGTAGTGTAGCATCATGAGTTCCCTGTAAAACCAAGAATATGAACTAGAATTTTCTCTTCTGATGGGTTCGTTGGCGTCGTTAATTGCGCAATATCTAGGAAAATCCAGCTGAAGACGGTACCAGTATCTCTACATTTCTGGGCTTTGATCTTAAGGGGTTTGAAGAAGAGATTTCGTCTAATCAGAGAAGAAAATTGCCATGAACATTGATCAGTGTACTGAACAAATGCATTGATATTGTAGGCCTCCTCATCCCAACTAGTAAGAAAATTCATGCGTCTCCCCAGGTGTTAGTCGTCTACTTGATTCTTGGTGGCATGAAAAGCTGTGTATACAGGTTATTGAAATGAAGTTTGCTGCTTGGGTTTAATTATCATCAGCTTTCATGTTTGTGATGTGTTCAATCGGTGGAAGTTCTCCCAGCTTTCATGTTTATTAGTTTCTCAGATATTGATTTAGATTTATTTAATTAGAGTTTCTCCAGCTGTGATAAGTAATAGTCTCCCAGTGCTTTATTATTCTCATAACTGCACTGTGGTCCATTTATAAGGTTTTTTTTGCATTGAAATTGGTTCCTGGTGGTGCTAAAACAGGTTTTGGCCGAATCAAATAAGCGAAACTGGTCGAATTGTAGCGCTAATTTGGGGATTAAGGTCGCATTCTGATTTATTCCTTGGTATTTATTTTGCCCTTGATGAAGGAGTTGACCGAGGACTAAGTCTCCCTCCTTGGTTGTGTTGTGCAGGGCATTTCAAGTAGCCAAGGTCAGTTTATATGATCTTTGACCTCGTAATTATTTTTTTATATTATTTAATTTTCTGTTAAGCTGTATTTTTCCCATTGTAATGGTTTGACAGGAAGAGATTCGATCCCACTGGAGTTTTTTTTTGTCTTTCTCCATTCAGAAAAATAGCGCAATTTTTTGACTTAATTGTTGTAGATAGGTTGACAATTTTGAGACCATAAAGGTCAACTTGCTCAAAATTTCACAGCTAGAAACCAGCTAAGAGTTAGATCCTCGTAAATTGGATGATAAAGGTGCTGAAATGAATTGGGGTTTGCTTCTTTTAGTTGTTGTGGGCTTCTCTGCCGTTTCAGTTTGGGGTGATTTCTTGTTGAGCAGGCCCCCAGCTTCCATTCATCGATAGAGCATTTGGAAGACACTGCATGGCCCATTCTTGCATAAGAACACTCACCACCTCTTCATCGTCTTCGCAACCATCTCAAAGGGCAGCGCGCGGGGTTTGATTCCTCCCCTTCCTCATCACTCTTGGTGATATATAGAATTTTTTTTTTTAATGTATAGTTTGATTCCTGGCCTGTTATGCTCATCTAGTCCTCTCTCACTGCCTGCCTGTTGGGTTTTTTTCCACTTCATTTTTGGTGGTATATTTTTTTCATCTTTCTCTCTCTAGAAACGCTGTGTTGTTTCCTACCCCTCTCCAGGAAGCAAGAAAGGATCTGGCTACGTCTGAGGATCCTTTTGATGCCCCGACATACAATATTCCTGAGAAACCTGTCACGTTCACCGAGGGTGCCTCTTACAGCATCATCATACTCTTGGGACTTGCGGTGGCAGCTGCCGCAGCCTATGCAGTTTTCAAGGAGCTGATCTTTGAGCCAAAGGAGTGAGTCTATATTTATTTATTTTCACTTATTTTCTGTCATGTATTTGTGTGCTTCAATATTTCTGAAATAACGGCCAGCTTCTGCTCAAGATAATTTTCCCCCCTTTTTTTAGTTTTAAATCGGATAATAATCACCAATAGAGAAAATCCAAAGGTCAAAAGAGTGAGTTTGATTTTTATTTTTATTTCCAGTATTTACATGCTTCAGTCAAGATTGAAAACTCCACTGTTATAGCATTTTTTTTCATTTTTCAACATTTTTATCTCTTAATATCTCGGAAATAAGAATCTTAATTTATAGCATATTCTTGACTTGTATGGATGGGGCCGGGCCTGTCGTTGAGATTCTCTAATGATTCTTCTTCATCCCCTGAATTTATTTTTTCTTCTTCTCCTCAGGTATAAGATTTATGGAAAAGCCCTCGAGAGGGTCCAGAATGACAGCCAGGTATCAAAAAGTATTTTTTATTTTTATTTTATTTTAATTATCATGGTCCCTATCTTAGATTAAAGCGCGCGGGTGACTTTCTCTGGGCTCATCAATATCCACCTCCATGCTTGGCCTCTTCCATTGACCAGGTCAGGGTTAGGATCGGATCCCCCATCACCGGCTATGGGCAAGAGAGCAGGAATCGTGCCGCTCGGCAACGAATCGCCCATAAGACGTGGACAGATGAGGACGGTGTGGAACATGTTGAGGTAGCTTCCTCTCTCTAGAAGTTGGGAAGATTTAACCTCTCTCTCTCTCTCTCTCTCTCTCTCTCTCTCTCTCTCTTTCTCTCTCTATGTTGAGGGTTCTGTATGCATACAATTTTTGTTTAATTCGGCGTATTTTTTTGGTGGGTTTTTTAATACACCTTTTTTTTTCAAAGTTGGCATTTTTTATTTTTAGTGGTGGGTTTTTTCCCTAATGATTTAATGGTTGCTATCATTATCAAAATCTCGTTCAGGTCAACTTCTTTGTTCGTGGGCCCCATGGGGCCGGCAAGGTCTACAGCGAGATGTTTAGGGACAAGGTTGACCGAGAATGGAAGTTCACCTATCTCATAGTTGACATCGTCTCTCCATCTCAGGCACGACTGATGCTCGAATCCTACATTCCGGCATAGAATTCTTTCCAGTCCGAGATGATCCCGGGATCCAGGCACCTCAAAGTTTCCGTCATAATGGTCAAAGTTTCCTCAAATAGCCCCCCATCTCCATCCCCTACCCCCCACGTTGACTTTTGGCTCATCAGTGGAAGAGGGTTTTAATTTTTCCCATTATTCGAGATATTTTCTGTCCTAATGAAATTTTTTGACCTCCCCTCGTTCTTGGGCTTTTCCCTTGTTCTCCCCCTTGTGCTTTATTTTTATTTATTTATTGATAATCAAAATGGTCGTTCTTGGGCCTTTCCCCTGATCTCCCACTTTTGTTTTATTTTTTATTTATTCATTGATGAGAAAGTGTTATATATATATATTGATATTCATATTGCTCTAATTTTATTTTTTTTCAATAAATAAAGTGTAATTATAATATCATCAATGCCCAGTTTTTATTTTTGGATTTTATGAGTGTATAGATATATGCCTTGAAGAGAACATCCATCAAATAATTTGGGTCTATCATCAATGTTCTTGGTCTCATGACATCAAAGGCCTTACAGTTATTTATGTGTACCCACCCGCACTTTCTCTCTCTATCATTCTCTTACTCAGCCGGCATAAAATATTTTTTTATTTGCATATCAACACATCTCTCATAAATAGACGTTCTAGTTCTAGAGAGAGGGAAGAAGAGGAGAGGTGGGGGTGGGGCTTACCGGATCACCAGCTTTGGAGGTTGGAGGAGACGCTCTTGAGGACCGGATGGTACCCGGTGTGCATGTATTTCTTGGCCGTCTCAGACCCGGGAAATCTGAGCCACTCATCGTAGAGACCCTTCACGATCGGGTTATCAAAGGGATCAGCAACTGCCACCTGGAGGAGAGGGAGAGAGAGAGAGAGGAGTAAGAAAGCATTATACATGAGCCAGAGGTGATTAATTATACACCGTAGGATTGACCATCAACGGCCCAATTTTTTTTTTCTTGAAAGGTTTTTTTTTTTGGAGGAAAAACCAAAAATAGAAAATTAAAAAAAACCATGGAACAATTATAACACTCACATCTTGCATGTATAGGACTTGCAGAGATTGGATGGCTTCTTTGACGGTTTGACCCGTTTTCGGTTTGAGTTGACCTCCGCCGTTCAAGCAGCCTGCGAGAAAAAGGATGAGAAGAAATAAGGAACCCCCATAATCTGGACTATGAATTTACTCGATTTATCTGCTTCTGAAAAAAAAAAAAAAAAAAATACCCGAAGGGCAAGCCATGATCTCGATGAAGTGGTAATCACACTTCCTAATCTTGATCTTCCGGACGATATTCTGCAGGTTTCGGAACCCATAACAGAGAGCAAACCGAAGGACTACCTCACCTTCCACCTGCAACCCCCACATCCGGCCCAAAAGTCAACCAAAAGAAAAAAAAAGTGAAAAAAAAGAATTTTCGAGGTATATGAATATGAAGTCTACTTCTAGAGTCAACTCTTGGAGGTCAGCGTTGCGGAGGATTCGGAAGTCGAGTGGGCCCGGGAGTTCCTTCCCGAATAGCTTCTTAGCTGCGTGGCGGAAGACCGTCTCGGCATAGCCGCCAGAGCCGCCGTTGACCCCAAAGAGACAACCTTCCTCGTCAACGTTGGTCAGCCTGGAACACCTCATCACATGACAGAAAGAAAAAACACCTCGGTCGACATGTTGGAGAAAGAGGGCCAGGAGATCCATCACCGAGCTCATTAAGCTTACGGAGTTTATCAATCATCACTGACTCTGACCGTTGACCACCACAAACCACACGTAGTCCGTGGTGGTCAACGGTCAAAGCAAGATTAAAAATGGATATAGGTACGTACAGTGGGAAAATTACTTTGCTGGAAGAAGAAAAATCAGGATGATAAACCGCAGCAGGCAGCATGATAATTCCAAAAATAAGGCAGGAACTTATTGAACTTATTAATTAATCATCACTGGGTATGCATGTTGAAGGAAGACTCGACCACTTAAGTGGAAATTATTGACAGACCACGAGCGGGTGCGATGGTCAACGCTCACAGCAAGATAAAAAAATGGATATATGTACGTACAATGGGAAAATTATAAGAAAAACCAGGATGATAAATAACAGCAGGCAGCATGATAATTCCAAAAAAATAAAGCGGGAAATTCGCTCTGGGCTAGAAATGGGGGGGGACCAGAAAGAGGAGACAGAGCCCAGGTGCACAGGAGACTTACAATTTATCCAGAGGAGCTTCTGCCAGGGACTCGAAGTCAACTGAGCTCGACTGCGCGGGAGGTCAAACGGGTGGTGAGGGCCCTGATAGGCGGTTCCAGATGCAAGGAGATTACACAGGCAGAGGGCTTCGTTACCTGTATTAGGTCCAAGATTTCCCCAGATGTTAGCACTGAGTCAACCTCGGGGATCCTCAGCTCTGCGGGGGTGAGGCGACCTTCTCCATCATGGTCAACCGAGAATACAAAGTCGTCCCTTGCGGCCTCGAGCTTCTTGTCATAACAGGGCATCACGGTCACATGGTAGATGCTTTCCGGCCTAGAAAACATGGTCCAAATCATCCGGGCAATATGGTCAAGGCTCTGATTCATGGAGGCTAGAAATTATGCACACCCACTTCATAAAATATTAGCTCACGTTGACTTTTGCACATGATTAGGAAGTCACATGCCACACTGTTGAAAGGACTTTGTGCAGAAATTCGGAGGTGGCACTCATCGAAGAAAAAGATAGAAGAAAACTCGAAGGTAGTAGGTATGGAATAACTGGGAAGAATTGTCTGATTGATTGCCAAAGAAAAGTCTAGTCAATACCAAGGGAACAGTAGATATATCATAAAGGATATCGTTTTGCTGCATTTTCAAGAAGAAGTTGACTTTTAATCCAAGATTGAGGCTTTGGGGGATAAGAAAAGTCTAGTCAATACCAGGGGGAACAGGAGATATTTTACTGCATTTTCAAGAAAAAAAAATGACTTTTAATCCAAGATTTAGGGTTCAGTTACAAGGACCATTGGTTCAGAAACGGATGCTCGTCTCATTCACTTTCTCCCCAGCATCATTTGGTCAACGAAATTTGAAACAGTTCGAGGGCACATGATTTCTCTGACAGTCAAGTGTTCCACCGCCATGCCTTCCCATGAAAATCTTATTTCCCCATAAATACATAGTTGATTTGGACAAAATGTAAGTACCATTACTCCCATGCATATAGAGTAATGTAACATCCGGAGACAATAGTATTTTACTGTTGAAATCTTAATGATTTGTCAGCCACATAAGTCGTTAAAGGAGGTTTTTCTTGCGTCGATCTGTTTCTGTGGAGTGTAAAAATCACCGCCAGCAGAGAAAATTTGATTTATGTAGTACTTACAGTCCACCATGCCTACTACAATATGATTATTCATGGAATATCTGAACTCCTAGCATCCCTCCCCTCTGAACCAAAAAGACGAAAAAACAGACAATTCAGCTAATCCAAAGGGAAAGCAGGATCCAAAATGACCATGGTCCAATCAGTCATCAAGCCAGCTGACCTGAAGGGGGAACCAGGCAACCCTGACTGAAATAATAACATGCATAAAAGTATACTTTGACATATTTGAGATACAGTTATCATGCCAAGTCAGATTCTTTTATATCCCACTTAGGCGGGTAACATCAAATGTTTTTCGTTTTCTTGTTCTAAAAACATTCCTCTTGCCGAACTACTAGAGTATTGGCAAAGCCTAGAGTAGGCTGAATGCCGGGATCCAAGTGAGTCCAATGTAGACCAGTTCTCTGTTTCCTTATCATTCAGAATGAGATAGGATTTCTCCCTTATAAGTTCACCAGGGACAACCTCCGGGTGAATCCCCTATTTCAAGTGTTGTTGTGTTCCAAGTTAGCAGAAGTCTTCTCGCCAGACATCTAACCTCCGGTTTAGAAAGCGTGTCTAGATTTTTCTGTGGTATAAACATCACAATATCTCTCTTTATCACATACTGGGCCATTTTCCTTTTGTTTTTCCCCTCTAATCCGCTAATCTACAAACATTCTCCCACAACAACTTCATCCTCGACCTTCAGTACTCTAAACATTCCACCAACTCTTGGATGCGTTCATAGACACAGCTTTCAGAACTTTTGAATCTGACAGGGTCTTAGACTTGTTCTTAAGTGAACCATGTGGGTTTGCACCTGTGACTGATTATATTAACACGTATTGGATCTTAGATCTCTCTGAATATCGTCATAAAGGAAGAAAAATACAGGCACATAATCAATCCCCAATTTTGAATTTCTTAGGTACATATAATGGAGAAAAGTGAATCATGGTATCCACTGTTGAAGACTATATGTTTATGTCAATGTAGAACGGAACATAGTCAATTAGATGCTATGAGAAAAGATTTTGTAATGTAAAGAAGCCTTAGGATGTTAGTGAGTGGTATGGAACGTGGGCCTACTAGGTTCATATTAAGTTTTATGTGTATTGCTCCTTTCTCCTCTCTGTATGTAAGTAGGTGAGAGTGGACACCTTAGTAACTCTAGTTTTTTTTTTTTTTTTTATATTTTATAAAGTACATGTAGAAAAATATGGCCCACATAAATTTCGAATAAAAAGTGAAATGGAAAAGTGGGATCCAACTCAAGGCCATAATTCTTCGTGAATTCGATCGTGGTAAAAGAAAAAACGTGAGGATTTGAGTGAAGAAACAGACCTAATCCCCATTTTCTCACAGATATGATGTTTGATTGCAGCTCCCATTGCTTGTTGGGGACTCTTCACGGAAGAAATGTAAGGCAAAATATATGATCCAAGTGTCTTTTCAGCATAACAGATCCAACCTAAAATCAATAATATCTTCTTTTTTAAAGTGCTCTATCTAACGGAGGAAAATATATTCAACAGGTTAATCTAGCATAACCCTTTCAGAATTGGATCTCAAGATCTTAAAAGTAAATAATCTTAAAGGGTGATTGTCGTTTCTCGGAAATAAGTAACTGAGAACAGGCAAGAAAAGTAAGCTATCTACTTTCAGTTCTCATTCAATGAAGCATACAATACCCCTCAAAGAAATGCAAGATAGCACGTTCATACAGACCCTTTGACATAGACAAACTCACTGCTACACAAACAACATGGCACACAATTCTCAAAAGCTCACGGTGACATTCTTCAAAAACTCATTGCTCATATTATTAACTACCTTCAATGCACCCCAATGGTAATTATTCATAGTTCAAAGATGGTGAGATATTTTACACAGGCCTCAAATGGACTGTGATAATGATGACATTCACACAAAATATGCAGCGTTTCATGGTGATGACCTCACTATTTGTGTTATGGTCGTAGATGGGATCCATCTTAGTGTGACATACCTCATGCTATGTGTGATGGAACAGAAAATTCATGTGACGAATCTAAGGAGTTGTACCCAACTAGTTAACTCATATTTGCAGAAATTAGATGAATTCCACTGTTGTGCAGACAGATGCACCTCATGTTTGGATTATAGCTGAATGGAACAGAAAATTCCCCACAGACCAAGGCTTAACAATCAACCTAATACTTGAACAGGATTGTCACCTCACATTTTCTTCTGTGCTCGCATCAGCATGTTATCCACAGCTTCCTATATGCATCGGATTGTAGATGCACATTCAGCATTAAGTTTGAATAGAGTTTCATCCCTCGATTTTTCTCCTCGGCTGTACCATCATTATTTGTATCTGAACTAAAATGCCATATCACACTTTGTTTTATGTTTCTCTCTTGGGTTAGGTCATACGAGTGTACCCCTACTTTACTACTTGCAATGAAGTGGTGTCTCTATGGACCACTTATCCCAGTTAAATTTAGTGGCAACAGCCAAGCGATCTTTCCATTAAAAAATCATGGTCAAATTTTTACTTTCTGAAAATTATATGCATACAGTGAATGGACCAATTAAACACTATGAATGTTTATCAACAGCTTGTGCTTAATCTTCATGAACTCATGCAGCCGTCTGAAAACAATTTGATTGAAAATTATAAACAAATCATACCACATAACTTGATGATTAAAAAGTATCCCATGTCTAAGGATTAGATAAGAACTTATGAAATCATTAACTTGGAATTTGAAATAGATGTGTCATGGTTTAAGGTAAACCAAAAGATAACAAAATATGATCATGAAGCAAAATTCCTTATGCATTAAACTTTTTCTTGAACTAATTGAAACTAATTCGGATGAACTGATAACAATTCATACAAACCATCGTGTACAAGCACCTGGACATGCTGATGAAAGCATAGGAATGGATGACCCATGTTCCCGTCCATCATTCACGTGATTTTGTTTATATCTTGAAATGAATTCGTTACAAGACTCAATAAGTGATATATCTCTGCTGCAACTTGTATCAAAAACGGCCTTTACACCCATACCCTTCAAGAAAGTAGTCAGCTTCCTGAAAACCTGAAGATGAAAGAGGAATTGCTTATCAATAGGAGTTTGTTGTCCAAGTTCACAACCAGGGAAGGGTTCCAAACCTCAGTCACATTTTACATTCCCAAAAGAGGAAGTAGTCACCCATCGTCACCCATCGTCAGCCATCGATAAGCTTTGCCTATCTTTGTATTTGCAAGTAACACTTGTGCATATGTGCATAATGTATACAAGAATTTCAATCAGAGCCGTATCACAGTAAATCTGTAAAGGCCAGCCTTCAGGTCAACTGACCACTGGCTCTCATGTCAACCCAAATTTTAGAAGTGATCACTCACTTCCAGCCTATTTACTGAAAGCGAAGACAAAAGGAAAAGACCCAAAGATACTCTGCACCAGGAATGCAGCATATGTATTAACCCCATAACGAAAAACAGGTGTTTGGCATTTAGCTACATAGAAGAATACGTGAGTATATTGTTAAAATATATGCATAATCCGCTTTTCAAAATCGTGCATAACGAGAACAAGGACATAATATTTTAGGAAAGACAAGGAAATGATAATTTTTTAGATATAAATGCATATTATCAATTCATATTTAATACTCACATGTGGTTATTGGTTCATAAATAATCATTCCTAGTTGCTGTACACTCCTGACTCAGGAATCGCAAATTCCACATCTAAACATAAACAAGAGTATGAGTTGAAGAATGATGTTATTTTTGTCACCTGAGAAGGAGAAAGATTGAAGTAAGCAGCTAATGAAGCCCTTGACTGAGGAGAAAGGGAAACAATGACAGCCTTCTCTGAGTTGATCTGGGATAAGAACTCATCCAGGCTTTGCTTCTCAAGCATGACTGTCTCAGCAGACGTTATACAACCACTGTAAAAATACTCAGCTTTAGCATCACAGAACAAAAGCAGAGAAACAGGCGTGTCCTTGTGCCAGATGATTGGTAAGGTAAAAGATATACAAGGAACAAAAAAGAGGAAGTAAATGACTCCATTAAGTGACCTAGTCCAAACGAACATGAGGAATGCAGCATCTAGTTTATCTCAAAATAACTATGAAACAAAAGTGCTACAGATTTTCACCACCTCATACATGCAATCCAAGAAGTATCTGATGAGAAACATTAAAGCCTTTACTAAACTGAGAGGAAAGTAATTACTATACTATCACCAAATCCCAGAATTTGTGTGACATATTGGTTATTTAGACAATTGGCATATAAATCTCTAGAAAAAAAAAAAAAAAAAATCGTGCTACATGCACATTCTGTGATTACTTGTACCTCCAAAGTGATTAAACGATCTCAAATAGTTTAAGTGCTCAGAAGATTATGAGAGCGCAAAACATGAGGAAACAACTACAGGGAAGGGATCTCACCTGCAGGCCAAACAGTCCTTCAGCGAAATTTTCACGGGGTCTGTTTGAGGTGGTTTGCTACCAGCATTCTAAAAAATGACAATAATAAAAAAAAAAAACTAAGGACACGAAAACTAGAAAGTAATAAAGAAGTCATATGCGCAAAGAAATAATGTTTTTTTTTTTGCCATATATAAGGGAACTCTCCCATGAAACCATATTACACGGATAGGTCAATTCTGATGCCAACTCTCCCGTGAAACCGTACGTTGACCATCAAAAATCTAGAGTGGGGGTACCTCAACTCTTTCCTGCTTCGTCTTCCCCCCTTGCAGCGAAACTATACATCCCTGGGAGGGCGCGATGAAGTCGTTCAGGTCGGCGAGCCGCAGCGCCGGCGAGAATTTCTCCGACATCTCCGTCAACGTGGGTAGAGAGATATAGAAGAAAAGAAGAGCAGAAATGAACCAAGCCTTCCGTGGAAACAGCTGTGAGTGAATTTCTCAGAGAAGAGAGCAGAGCTTGGCTTCCCTCTGGCGGAGAGAGGAGTGCTCCACGACGGGGGGAAGGAGACGACTCAGCAGAGGAGGGAAGGTCGAAGAAGAAGAAACGCTTGAGAAAGGCGGTAACTTTATGGCTCTTTGAAGGACCCGAACACTCTGTGGGTCGGAGCCGATTCGGTAATGATCCGTTCTGCGACTGTGCTGGATCTCGGGGCTAAAAGGCAAGTTATAAGAGTATTTCCTCAATTATATAAAGTATATTCTTAAGCTTCCGTATTACAAACAAGTTGCAGATCATTAAAAGGATATTTTCACGATTATGGAAATTATGTAACTTATGACTTTACATTACAAAAGAATTTGGGCATAAAAATATGGTATGTACACAATTATAAAGAAGTGCTGAGGACCTATTTGATAATTAGACAGAAGTCCGTGATTAAAGCAAGAAATATATGCACGCATATAACATGAAAAAGGATATCTACATAATTTTATGAAAGGTGGTCATTTCTTATTTCCCTGGGCCATACAAGCCTCCAAGTAATTTTGAAAACGGTCCCAACCTCAGAAGTATATATTCCGTACATACCATATGCATTGCATTCAACCGCAGCTACTCTGGTTGGCCCTAACCGATCCACAGATCCTCTCTCTCTCTCTCTCTCTCCCCCTCTCTCTCCGTGTCTGTCTGCCTCTCCCTCTCTCTTCATCTTTGCCTCTGTCTCTATCTCACACTCTCTCTGTCACTTGTCACCGTGCGACAAAGAGGGGAGAGAGAGAGAGGAGATTTTAGCATGTTATTATAAAAAGCCCACTTTTTATAAATAATGTAGTCACAGATCCGAGGATTGATGGTAACTGAGTAAATACCATTCCCATTTCCTGCAGTAAATTATAAGTTGAAGAAGTTTTATATTGCGAGTCGCAGGCTATAAGACACTCATGGTCGGCAGAACGAGGAAAGAGAGAGAGGGGGAAGGAGAGAGAGAGAGAAGGAGATGGAGAAGAGCAGAGTTCTGGTGGTGGGGGGCACCGGCTACCTGGGGAGGAGGATAGTGAATGCCAGCCTCGCGGCGGGCCACCCGACCTTCGTCCTCCACCGGCCGGAGATCGGCATGGATGTGGAGAAGGTCCAGATGCTGCTGTCATTCAAGGAGCAGGGAGCTCGCCTGATAGAGGCCTCCTTCTCCGACCACGGCAGCCTCGTGGCCGTCGTGAGGCAGGTCGACGCCGTTGTCTGTCCCATCGCCGGCGTTCACCTTCGCAGCCACCAGATCCCCCTCCAGCTCAAGCTCGTCGAGGCCATGAAAGAAGCCGGCAACGTAAAGGTGACAGCTTTTATTTTAATCCCCTCTTCTCATCCGCTTCGTCTCCTTCAGTGGCCGGTGGATGCAGAGGTTCCTGCCATCGGAGTTTGGGATCGATACGGCGAGGATGGGGTCGGCCGTAGAGCCATCGAATGTCAGCTTCGACGACAAGATGGCGGTGAGGAGGGCGGTGGAGGGGGCCGGAATTCCCTTCACCTACATCTCCGCCGGCTGCTTCGCCGGCTACTTCGCCGGCGGCCTCTGCGAGCCGGGGAGAATCCTCCCGGCCAAGGAGAGGGTGACCATTCTCGGCTCCGGCGACGTCAAAGGTGGAGGAACCTTCATTGGGTCCTGAGCATCGAGCTGTTCTACCGCCCTGCGCTCACTTTCTCTCTCTACAGCCATATTCGTGGACGAGGACGATGTAGCGGCGTACGCGGTGAAGACGATCGACGACCCGCGGGCGGAGAACAAGACGGTCTACATCCGGCCACCGGAGAATGTCCTCTCCCAGCTGGAGCTGGTCCGGATCTGGGAGGACCTCATAGGGAGGCAGCTGGACAAGCTCAGCCTCTCCGTCGACGACTTGTTCACCGCCATGAAAGGTGATTTGCCACCCTTCACAACAATGTAGGCCCACCCTCAGTTCTCGCCCGCATCTCTCTCTCTCTCGCTCTCTTTCCATGACTCTGAACTGGGGAGGGACGTACGTTGCAGGCATGGACTACGGCGTGCAGGTGGGCATGGGGCGCTACTACCATGTGTTCTACGAGGGCTGCCTTACCAACTTCGAAGTGGCAGAGGAGGCCTCCCAGCTCTACCCGGAGGTGCCCTACACACGCATGAGGGACTACCTCAAGCGGTACTTATGAAGACTGAATAAGCACAAGCAATAATTCTGAGTATGTGTTGAAGATTTCGGGATACGCAGGTGAAGGAGAAATAAAGTCTACCAAAACAAGTTGATTTGAACTTGAGAAATAAATTATGGTGTGAAAAAAATAGATTCACTTTCTTTCTAGATTTCAGTCAACATGATCTTCAGGTTCTTACCTCTCCACTGAGAATGGCTGATCACATTTGTACTATTTACAAGAGTAAACAACAAAATCTTGCCTTGGAAGAGAGGGGAGAGGAGAGGAGAACCACCAAGAACAGAACAACACACGAAGGTGAAAAAACTGAGAAAGCTAGGTTTTATTCGAATGCCTTGAATCAGGCTCTGAAAAGACTACTTTGATATCCCTCTCTTGTCATTAGAGAGTTACGAAACATCCTTTTAAAAAATCAAAAATACTTGCAACACTTGGAGCTTCCGACATCTCTATTATTGGGCTGAAACATAGTCTTGCAGGCCATGAATTGTTTGCCCAATATAGGATATGAGCCTTATCTCAATAATCATTACCTTGGCAACAATCTCAGTCAACCTAGAAGTTGCTCTATCTTGAATTTTTTGCGAGAAGATGTTCTACCTTCTCAATGGTTTGTTTGCCATGTATAAAGGGTTGGATATAGTCTTGCAAACATAGTTTACATTTTTCTATTAGAAAATTTTCATCCATCATGAGATAGACATGTGTGGTACTAGAGACCTCGGAAGTCCTTTCTCAAGATGACAATTCAATGAGCCATTATATAACGGCATCCTATACAAAGACGTATATATAATGAGAAAAGGGTATGCCCCTCATAAGAACATGTTATTAGAATTGCAAGCATAACATGGACATCACAATCATAAACACAACTTACATTAATAAATTAAGCTCATCATTCTCAGTCTAGAACAAACGTGAGGTGATGAGACCCAATCGTTGTATAATAAATCACATAAATCAACTTTTAGTTTTTTCAAAAATATTTCAGCATGAATATATTATTGATAATTTGATAAAATGCTCCATTACAGACGTTCCCGCCATCGGATTAGCTGCGAAGGTGAACGCCGGCGATGGAGCATATGACGGCATCGACCTGCCTCACGGCAGCCACGAGGGTGCCGTGGTCGGAGAAGGAGGCCTCTACCAGAGGAGCTCCCTGCACCTCGAAAGACAGCTGCACATCCATGCCGATCTCCGGCCGGTGGAGGACGAAGGTCGGGTGGCCCGCCGCGAGGCTGGCCTTCACTATCCGTCTTCCCCAGGTAGCCGGTGCCCCTCACCACCTGAACTCTGCTCTTCTCCATCTGCTTCTTTCTCTCTCTCTCTCTCTCTCTCTCTCTCTCTCTCTCCCTCTCCTTGTCTCTCTCCCCGTTCTGCCAATCACGAGTGTTTTATAACTTGCGACTCGCATTATAAAACCTCTTCTAGTTACAATTTACTACAGGAAATGGGAATGGTATTTACTCAGTTTCCCTCAATCTTGGGATATGTGACTACATTATTTAGAAAGTGGGTTTTTTATAATAACATGCTAAATATGGATTTATACGTAAATGTAAAATCTGTACAAACTCGTAGTAATGGTTCCTTTTACAGCACGTGGAACCAGAAGGTTTCCTTTTTTCTCAGTCGTCCCCCGTGAAATGTCATCTGTGTTAAAAAGACGACCAAACTATTTCTAGGGAACTTACACTCTACCATTGGTCTTTAACCTTGGTGAACAGATGTGTCTAAGTTGGCATTAGCTTTTTTATATCCTATCAACATCAATAGATGGCATTTGGCTTGTTTTGTGACTTCACAAAACTCTTCAACACAGTGTGATGAATAAAATTATGATCTACATGTATTCTATTATGTCAATCAATTATAGTCTATTCAATACTTCAAAGAAGTAAGTTTTGAACATCCCCCAACTATAAATTTAATTTAAAATATAGAGATATTAGTTCACATTTTGCGTGAACTGACTCATAATTAATTTTAGAAAAAATGAACACGAGAATTTTAAATTTAGAACGTATAAAAGCTTGGAAAGATTTTGAACTAGACAACATTTTATGATGGAAAAATGGTCATTTCATATTATTTTGACTAATAAATTGTATCAATATTAATATTTAAATATATGACAAGCTGTAGTGTGGCATGGTGTTGATATGTCAAAGTTAATATTTCATCATTATAAGTTCAATGGAGGTTAGGAAAAATATCAAGAGGGGGTGAATTGAGTTTCTACAACTTTTTTTCTAATCTCTTTTTTTTGCCTATTAATGGATGTGCTGACATAGGTTCTCTCATAACCTTGTTTTTCTCAATATAGATTCACTCAAGATTCTCTCCCTTTCAATGCGAGTTTTCTTCTGATTCTCTCTTCACCATTGAGGACAACAAGACCTTTAATACTAGTTCATCCCTCACTTAGCTACTTCTAGTCTTGGAGGATCATTCTTACTAAAGTTTATTACTTTCACTTGAAAATATACAGTGAATTTAATAAGATCACTAATTTAATCACACCAATTCAGTCTCCTAAGAGACCTTACTTTTCAATGGTAAAACTAGACTATCAACATCATGTGTTTTAGCTCAAACTCCTTTTCTCTTACCACTTAAGTACCTTAGGGTCTGATAGAGGGTGTCAACCTTTAATATGAATATTGCTTTCAATCACGAATGTTGAATGAAGGATTTCATGCAGCATTCTATTCTACATTGAAGCTAACAGTGACTAAATCTTGATGAAAAAGAAGGATATTAGTTGGAGCATAAATAGACATTGGAGCGCTAGCTTCTCTTCACATTTTTTTTTCTTTTCATCTTCAATGTTCTCCAGTCATTTCTTATCTTGAAAAGTAGTCACACAAATTCAAAAATTATTCCCATTGCCCAAAATGTGTACCAACAACCTTTGCATTTAATACCTCAAAACTCACTATTTTCTTGTATGTTAAATTTGAAACTTGAATTGAAGATTATTTTTTGCCAACGAATGTCTTTGCTGTTGAGGTTGAGTCCAAATAAGCTTGTTTAATCTGTTGTCGTCTCCATATAACTAGCTACATGTCAATGTCTAGAACATACGACATCAACTTCATCTTTTTTCATAATTTTTTAAATATCTTCTCACTAAAGCTTACGACATGTCATTATTTAGATTCCAAGTTCAAGTTTTACAAGTGACTTTGATATTTTTTTTATTTTTAGGTATTTATTTATTCAAGCTTTTGACTTATTATTATTCAGATTCTAAGTTCAAAACTTGTCAATGCCTTTGATACATTGTGATTTTTTAAGTCTTTTTTCCCTTGCATTAGCACTTGATTTCTTGTACTTATATATGAACTCTAGATGCTGCATTAATTCCGACATATAAAAATCTCAAGGATCAATTCCTTAGATTTGTTTGTTAACTATAGGATCACAAGAGCATTAAAATTATACATCTTAAATAATTTTGAAAGGTATCAAACCTTAGCACAACCTCTTACAAAAATTATTAAATATTGAGTAAACATTCAATAAATAAATTTTCACTTATAGTATCAAAATCAAAGATATCAACAATCATATGTGGAGTTGCATTGTAGAATAAGTGATGATACAAAGTTGACTATGTCATAAGCTATATTGTGAACTTATAGACCATATCAAGCTTATTATGATAGTAGATGAGAAGTTATATTGAGGACTAAAGGCGTAATAGATGAAGGTCAATGAAAGACCATAATAATACAAGAGCATTAGATTTTGCTCATGATCTTTGAAGTCTTTGTATGACAAATAGGGATTGAAGGAGGCTCTCTTTCTTGCTTTTGGACACATAAGTTTTTATTAAAAAAAATTCTTTTCATGCTCTCAAGATCTTTCGATTGAAATATGAAAAGAGAGAATTATCGTGCATCACTAGACTTTTCATCAAGTCTAATGCTTTCTCTTCAGCTTTTTTGCTACTTGATTGATCTCAACATGTGAGTGACAAGCATATGACTGAAATATGATCATTTAAAGTAAATAATTTACATTTTTTTTCGATCTGTAGATATTTTCTCTCATGTATTTGGTGTTCAACTTCCAAGTGATACCTAAATAATATTCTGCAAACTCCTTTCTCATTTCATAATTAATTTACTTTACAATTATTTCTTTTCTTAGATAAATTGTTTAAAAAAATTAAACACTATTTTTGTAATATTTCATTTCATTTTTGAAAAGCTGCAATTAAATTATCGTGATTGTGCTTCCATTGGTAGAAGGACATTATCAATTGTCCTTTCTTCTTTCTTTTGATCGAATTTATTTTTGCAAATGATTAGTGATAAATCTTCATTATCATGAGCTAATAATTAATTAATAATATATTTTAAGTCTTAAAGTATTTATATTAAATTAAGAAAATGAGTTTTTAATTAGTTAATATAACTTTTTAATTAATTATATTTTTTAATATAAATTTTATAATTTTTATAATCATATTTTTGAGATAAAACAAAATAAAATAAAATAAAATAAATATAAAAAAGGGAGACATGTAAACCAACTAGGCCCACAAGTGAGTCGAAAGCATAGTTGAAAAACCTACTAGCCAGCTAGACTCACAAGAAGGTTGAAAGCACAATTTGGTAGAGCCACGAGCAATGGGCTCAAGTAGCTAATGACCATTTGGGGGCACATGTGTGTCACTCTCCTTCCAAGTCACTAGTGGGTAGTCATGTGTGGGGTAAGAAGTGGTTGTACACATGAGAGGACTACATTGACCATTGGAATATGTATTATTATACGTGTCTAAAAAATCAAAAAGTAGTTAATGTGGGACTAAACTCGTGCCAATGCTTGTTTGTAGATTCTTACTATTTTTATATCAAAAACATCCCTTATTTATAAGAAAAAAATACATTCATAACATCACTAGATAAGGGTATGTAGGTAATTTATATTTTCTCTCTTAGGTAGCCAAGTGACCGACAAAGACTTGAGTCCCACCAAAGTCAAAATTCATCTTTTTATCTAATTAAATTATAAGTTTTACGAATCTTCATAAGTAATTGACCAAAGATTTTGAGTACAACAATTATAGATTCTTTGATAAAATTATCTCTAATTGATCAACAAAAGAGTCATCATCAAGAAGAGGATGATCTATTGAGAGACAAGTCACCACATCCTCAAAGCATACTGAAGATTCAAAAGTTGTCAAATTTTTATTATATTGGGTGATAGCTAACTTAGATGATTCGTTGACCGATTTTATTGATTTTTATATTTTACAAGAAGATCTAGAAAAATTTTAGATCGTCCATGTCTAAGGAGAGCCTTTGAGGCTATAGGTATCATACAATAATCTTCTAGAGTACATAAAATTCTAGTGACTACTGTCACGATGTTGGAATTCTATCTTTCTTATTTTAAACTTAAGTTTTACTTAAATTAGTGACATTTTATATGATTTCAAGTTTTGAAAATATTTTTATTCAATTATGATTCTTCTTACTTTTATAGATCTTAATTTCAATTAGTGACATTTTGAAAACCTCCTAGAGTATGGTAATTTTGTATTTTAACATATGTTGGAAGCAGGAAAAGGTCTAGCCTGGTGAAGGTGTGCGCTGTATCGACAGCTTATGCCTCAGAATACTCCGCTTTAGCATCACAAAACAAAAGTAGAGAAACAGGCGTGTCCTTGTGGTAGATGATTGGTAAGGTAGAAGATATACAAGGAACAAAAAGATGAAGTAAATGCCTCCATTAAGTGACATAATTCAGCCAAACATTAGAAATGCAGCATCTAGTTTACCTCAAAACAACATAAGGAATGCAGCATTAGAGAGAACTCTAGAAGCAGCATTTTGACTGTTTACATGAGGAATTATTGTATGCTCTTATTCCTTCCTCATAAGTACCGCCTGAGGTAGTCCCTCACGCGTGTGTAAGCCACGTCTGGGTAGAGCTGGGAGGCCTCCTCTGCCACGTCGAAGTTGGTAAGACAGCCCTCGTATAACACATGGTAGAAGTGCCCCATGCCCACTTGCGAGACATAGTCCTCACCTGAAACGCAGGTCCCTGCCCAGCTCAGAGATAGATAAATACAGATACAGATAGAGACAGAGATAGAGAGAAAGAGAGAGAGAGAGAGAGAGAGAGTAATGGCGTCGAGTGGATAGGTCAATGCAGTTGTTTGTGGGCCTACGTTGTCTTTAAAGAGTGGCAAGTTACCTTTCATTGCCGAAAGGAAGTCGTCGGCGGAGAGGCTGACCGTCTCAAGCTTCCTCTCGATGAGGTCCTCCCAGATTCTGACCAGCTCCATCTGCGAGAGAACGTTCTCCGGCGGCCGGATGTAGACCGTCTTGTTCGCCGCCCGCGGATCATCGATCGTCTTCACGGCGTAGGTCGCGATGTCGTCCTCATCCACGAATATCGCTGTGGAGAGAGAAAATGAGCACAGGGTAATAGCTTGAAGGTCGGATTTGGATGGATGATCTTCGACCTTTGACATCGCCGGAGCCGAGAATGGTCACCCTCTCCTTGGCCGGGAGTATATTCCCAGGTTGGCAGAGGCCACCGATGAAGTAGCCGGCGAAGCAGCCGGCGGAGATATAGGTGAAGGGAATTCCGGCCTCCTCCACCGCCCTCCTCACCGCCATCTTGTCGTCGAAGGTGATCCTCCCGGGCTCGAGGGCCGACCCCATCCTCGCCGGGTCGATACCAAATTCCGACGGCAGGAACCTCTGCCACCGGCTTCAGATCGTCAGCCAACTGGAAGGAAACGAGGCGGGTGGAGGAGAAGAGGAGAGAAGGGGATTAAATAAAAGCTCTCACCTTTACGTTGCCGGCTTCTTTCATGGCCTCGACGAGCTTGAGCTGGAGGGGGATCTGGTGGCTGCGAATGTGAACGCCGGCGATGGCGCAGACGACGGCGTCGACCTGCCTCACGGCGGCCACGAGGCTGCCGTGGTCGGAGAAGGAGGCCTCTACCAGTCGAGCTCCCTGCTCCTTGAAAGACAGCAGCATCTGGACCTTCTCCACATCTATGCCGATCTCCGGCCGGTGGAGGACGAAGGTCGGGTGGCCCGCCGCGAGGCTGGCCTTCACTATCCTCCTCCCCAGGTAGCCGGTGCCCCCCACCACAAGAACCCTGCTCTTCTCCATCTCCTTCTCGCTCTCTCTCTCTCTCTCTCTCTCTCCCCGTCTCCCCTCTCCCCTCTCCCTCTCCCAATCCTCCCTCTCTCGGTCTGGTTCCCACTGCCACGTTTTGCCATTGATACTGCAAGGCTTTTATAAAGCTACTTACCTTTATAGAACTTAAAATTTATCAACTAATATGTTCCTTAAGGAAATAGAGAATGCTATCACCGCAGTTCCCTCAATCGTAGAATTTGTTTCTAGGCGGGGATTACATTTTTTAAAAGAAAATGAGTTTTCAATAATAAAATGATAAGACAGGGATGTAAATGTAAATGCGCATCAAATCGCAAGAAGGTATCTCAACCATCCCCGTTGAATGAATACACGATGCTAGCTGTGTGTAAATGAATTCACTACCAGCTGGCACTCCAACATGCGGGCATCAAACCAGGGCTTTAATTGATGTAGTCATGTAGGTGTTGTATTGCAAACTGGCATTGGAGATTAGGGGTTTCCAACAATTATTTCACACGTGTAGAACCGAGAGTAGGCTGCGCTTTCGACCAGAAATCACTTACCCACTCCAAGCCGGAGAGAGAGAGAGGATGCTATAATTAGGTAAGGACCAATCAGAGGCGTCCATGATCGCGGATAGGCTGTCCACCTCGGTCATCGGTTAGGCCAACCGGCCCACAACCACTGCCAGCTGAAAGACGCCGTCTTTACGGTCAATTAAGACATCGGTTTACCCTTTCTCGTGTTGGCTTACCTTGCAACATCATTTCAGCCGACAGAGGTGCCATGGGATGCCAAAAACAGTGTCAGCATCAGCCAAGAACGTAATCTGACGAATCTGACGTGTGAAGGGGCAGGTGGCACAGTCGCTTAACTGACGTGCCGCCGATTCACAGAATCCTCTCTCTCTCTCTCTCTCTCGCTTTGTGTAGATATATTTTTCAATGTTTTAATCATATTATTATTTTTAATCAATTTTAGCTATTAATTATGGATGTGATGAATCATGCATATATTAACCCTCTGATCTTTTTTATGATGAAATATCTACATTAAGTCCTAAAGATAGGCCTGTCTATACTTTCCATAAGTCCAGACCTTTCATGCTCCCATGCATATATTTTAGATAAATCTAATTCAGCCATAGGCTATATTTTAACATAGTTTTTCCCAAGTTCTATAATCATCAAACTTGAAGCCCATAAACCGTACTTTAAATGGTGTTTTCCTTAAATGTCAAGGAGTACTTGAATGCAAGCACATTGGATGGATCATATACTTTTACACCCATAAATATACTTAAAAGGTCCACCCCTAAATTTCTAGAACAGCTCCAATGCATATGCATTAATTCTCTGGATGAATTTTAGATGACATCTGCTACTCCAATAACAATTCCTCTCCCGTGTTAACATTTCAAGAATCAAGGGCAAGATCTGATTTCTTCAAATGAGTTATGGACATCTCTCAACCCTCAAGTGCTTCCTCCTTCAGTTCAACATGTTTAAACACCTCCAACAACTCTCGCTGGTGGGTGCACTGTGTGCGGGGCATGCATGCCTCTTTGTGTCTTGGAGGAGACAGGGACGGTGGGGGGGGAGGTTAGCGTGCCTTAGGGTGAGCTGGGGCCAGCAAGAGAGAGGCCGTCAATGCCCTAGAATGAGAGGGGGCCAGTGAGAGGGAGGCCGACATGCCAGCTATGATACTATGTGAGACAAAAGAGGGTATGAGACAGAGGAGGCCTCTACCCTTTATATATAGGGGTATGAGACAAAAGAGAGAGATAAATATATATATATATAGGCCCCTTAGGCCCCTTAGGCCCCTTAGGCCCATTAGACCCCACCCCGTATGGCCCACTCACAATCATAATAAATGCAATATCTTCAACGTATTAAAAAAATCAATTTTGGATTTATTCGGGTATCACATGCTATTTGTTGGAATAGAAGCCACTTAGAATCTCAAAACATCACTTTGTTTATCACATGATTTCAATACTGCATTACATAATGTAAAGTAAGAAATTCTTCTATCATTTATTTAAAAATAAAGAAAAAGGCAAGTTATTAATAAACACTGAAAATGTAGATCAGATGTCAATTACTGAGTTAACATGATGATATGCAGCAAGATTTATTTATGTTAACAAACCCAAATTTACAAAAAGTAAACGCTGAATCCACCTTTCAAGAGTTTGAAGTTATTTCAATTAACACGTTCATTAGAAAACACATTAGCTAGTATAATTAAGTACTCGTAAACACTTTAGCCGTCTGCTTGACAAGGCAGGCCGCCGACGTGACTGGCGGAGGGCAGCCCACTAATGGGGGAATCTTCGCCGCCCGGATAAAGGACCGACAGCGTGGGCTCTCTCCCTTCTCGCTTTATTGCTGGATGACAGAGGAGAGAGCAACAAGGGGCCACTGGACCCCACGGAGACTGAGGCAAGTGTTGGGAACTAACTGAGTAGCGAGGGGAGAGGAGAGATGTTGATGGAGAACTCTCACTCCGTCACAACTTCACTTTCGCATACTGCAGCCGTGGTAGCTCCTCTCTGCTCTACAACATAGAAACTCTGATAAATAGACCAAAGGGAGACGAGTATGATCTCGAGGGTTATTCAGCCCTATTTGTACTAAATAACGCAGTAGATGTTTTCATACGTTAAATATTTCGATCAGCCAAAAAAATAATAATCTTAGATCTTTCCGCTGGTTGCTACTTGATAACTTGGAGCTGAAAATAAATAGCACCATAATGTTTCAAAATTCGAGCAAACTAAGATCCGCCGCCAGAGATTTTATTTCTGCGACGTCGGAATAACGCGACTAGTCCGTGGGGCACATAACTTGGACCAAGTTCTCTATCGTGGGGAAATATCGACTTCGATGAGCTGGAGAACTTACTACCGTTACTGTTCAAGTGTTCTAGATCTCCGTCTACTTTATTGCTGAAATAAAATAAGGTTTTGTAGACTTTTAGCCTCAGATAGTCTTCGAAATCAAGGATAGAGTTGAAAAGTGGCCAGAACCACCAGTCGTAATGCAAGAACACGTCGGTGCCCAATAAAATAAGACTTTGCACCATTGTCACCAAATTGGTTGTCTCAAATTAGCTGTGTTATCTCCTTTCTGAGAGAGAGAAGAGGGGGGGGGAGAGAGAGAGAGTAAGAGAGAGGGGAACAGAGAGAGAGATATGCTGCGTGCAGCTCTTCTGACGATCTTACTAGTCGCCTTCGAGGGCCATGGTGTCATGGCTAGGTCTAAACCTGGGCCAACAGTCATCATCGTTGGCGCCGGCATGTCCGGTGAGTTTTCCCATCACCAAATGTATCATACGATTTCACGCTCCCTCTGTTCGTAAGCAGATTAGAGCAAATCAAGGAAACTTACCACCTGCGCAGGTATATCGGCCGCCAAAACGCTTTCGGAAGCCGGGATTAAGAATCTGCTGATCCTCGAGGCCACTGGCCGCATCGGCGGCCGAATACACAAGACTGAGTTCGCCGGCGTCAACGTCGAGACCGGCGCAAGCTGGGTCGAGGGGGTTAATGGTCAGGAGCTAAACCCTATCTGGAACTTAGCGAGGAAGCTCAAGCTCAGAACCTTCTTCTCCGACTTCGAGAACATCTCCGCTAACGTCTATCAACAAGTGTAGGTAACCCAAGATCTTTCTCTTCCTCCTTATGGATCCTCGTTTACTGACCGACCATTCTCACACTTGTTTCTTCTGCAGGAATGGGCTGTACGATGCCACCGTTGTTCAGGCGGCCCTGGACAGGGCGGTGAACGTCTCCAAGGCCGCAGCAGTGTTCTCCGAGGCATTACCACCAAGCGGACTGGAGGACATCTCTGTTTTAACTTTTCAACGTCTCCAGAAACAGTGAGGATCTAGAACATCTCTACCTAGATTATGATTTATCGATCTCACATTATTATTTTGCTTCATCATCTTTTTCTCCTCGTTTTTCATTTCCTCATTCTCTGAGGCAAATCCAGTGTTCCGTCAACGGCCTTAGATATGGTGATTGATTACTCCAATCATGACGGCGAGTTTGGGGAACCACCACGAGTGACAAGCCTCCAGAACACGGAGCCCATTCCAACGTTTACCAATTTCGGCGAAGACTTGTATCAAGTGGCGGACCCGAGGGGCTATGAAAGCGTGGTTCACGAACTCGCGCACCAGTTCCTAGGTTTTGACGCCAAGGGCACCATCACCGATCCACGCATCAAGCTTAACAAGGTGAGTCTACTTCCACCTCTCTCTCTCTCTCTCTCTCTCTCGCTCGCTCGCAAACCAGCAATGAGTAATGAAAGTTTGACCAGGTAAAAGCGTCACTCCACTGGTCGTTTCTTATCTGTGAAATGAAACGGCATTGGTGAATCGACCGTTGACTGTGTAAGGTTTGAAACAAGGCCGGATCTTCATATTCAACGTTCAATCGCGTAAATATCACGTAATCTCTAAAGCTATTTTTTATTTCGTGATTACTTCTCTCTCTCTCACACTCTCACTCTCACTCATTTTATTTATTCTATAAAATTGTACGTTGGTCATCTTGGCAATCTGAGTCACCTCGCGCTCTCTCCTTTTTCTCTCTCTCTTCCCTCACAATGTTTATATAAAATAGTAGGTTCGTCGTTTTTGTCAATCGCCCTCCCGCTTTCATTAAATTGTGGATCGTTATGGTTCACCTTCCTCTGAACATTGCTTGGACCATGTCCCCCGTGAATTTCTAACCTACTTTCTTGGCTTAAACCCAATATGTCACATCATCTCTCTCTCTCTCTCTCTCTCCCGGGCGCGCGGGCTCTACAACACAATCTGTCCTCTTTTCCTCACTTTCTCTCGACTGATTTTCTCTATGTGACAAGAAGTTGGGCAAGAAAAACAACATATTCTGTAATAATGTCTGGACCACTGAGTTTTTGATATTGAGGATGTGATGATTCTTTAAAACTATGCATTGCTTTCAGTAATTTACTAGTGCTCGCAAGAAAACATATGAAAAGAAGATGTCAGAAGTTGCTGTAAGCTAGTAATGATCAGAGCCCATGCGGCACTCGTATGATGTTACCGACGCTTTTTTCCCATGAGATTAACACAGTCTTGCTTTCAAACTGTGGCTTTCGAATAGACGATGGCTAGGATTTCCTTTCTAGGCCCTGATCACTTGACAACTTCCTTTCTGGCCCAATGATCAGCAACAAATGTGTGCCATGAATCTCACAACCTGAATTGATCGTTCAAATTAGTGTCGTTAACTCATAATTATTCATGAAAGTATGCCATTCAAAGAGAAATTCCTGTAAAAATTGAAATCGTAAAATGCCCTGGGAAGCTGAGGGTATGCAATTCTCGCTCCATTGCTGCAGGTGGTGAACCGGATAGAATACTCACGAAGCGGCGTGATTGTCGAAACCGAGGATGGCTCCACGTACAAATCTGACTATGTGATGGTTTCCACAAGCATAGGGGTCCTTCAGACCAGTCTCATAAAATTTGAACCTGATTTACCTGTAAGTAATATATACCCTCCTCCACGATATATACTTGTATTGTGCATCTGTGATGTAAATCTTTAACCTAGTCTGGAAAGCTCATCTCTCCTGCGGGTGAATAATCTGTGCTAGACCTGGAAGATCTTAGCCATTTATCAGTTCAGCATGGCTGTATACACCAGGATCTTCCTCAAGTTTCCTTACAAGTTCTGGCCCTCTGGAAATGGAACGGAGTACTTCCTCTACGCAAGCGACAGAAGGGGTTACTATCCCATCTGGCAGGTGCTAACTTCACTTCTTATGCGTCTCTACGCCGTTGTATCAAAAAATAAATTTTTTATTATTAAGTATTCTCCTAGACTTTGAGTGGGATAGCATCATCTTTAAGCTTCCTCCTTCTGTGCCTCTGTGTAGTTTATGTCATATATCAGACCGGGAATACTGATTAGACATTATATGTGCAGCATGTGGAATATGAGTACCCGGGATCCAACATCCTAATCGTGACAGTCAGTGATGAGGAGTCGAGAAGGATCGAGCAGCAGCCAGACTCAACGACAAAGGATGAAACCATGGAGGTGCTGAGGAACATGTTCGGCGAGAACATACCAGAGCCCACGGACATACTCGTCCCGAGGTGGTGGTCTAACCGGTTCTATAGGGGCACCTACTCGAATTGGCCGATTGGCGTTAGCCGATACGAATTCGATCAGATCAGGGTACATAACAACATGCCCTTAGCTCATTTCTTCAAAATTTATGCAAATAGATGGGTATATACCTTGATTCTATGGACGAATTATCATAGCAAATATGAATGCGCTGCACCGTGTCTTGCCAAGGATCCAGAACTGCTCGATCTCTCATGCCTTTTATAAGGACTGAACCCCCCCCCCCTCCTGACCCTAGAATGAGATAGATAGATCGATACATACATACATACATATATATATATATATATATTGAGAGAAAGAGAGCCAGAGGATGTTGGCATCTAATGAGGAGTCGAGAGCCCTTGGCACATACACCCAAGCTGATTTTTTTGGTTTGTTGTTCCGCTCTGCCTTTTCTGATGAGACAGGCACCCGTGGGGAGGGTTTATTTCACCGGGGAGCACACGAGCCAACCTTACAGCGGATACGTCCACGGCGCCTACCTCGCAGGTAACCGCATAATCAAACACGGTGTATCCCTCCTCCTTTCTGATTCTAACAGCGACCCGCTCCTTCGATCAGGCATCGATTCTGCGTTGATGATGGTCGGCTGCATCAAGTACGGATCTTGTGACGTCCAAATAGAACCCAAGGCATGAGCATTGAGATTCCTCCTCCCCCTTCCCTTTGGTCGTGTCGATGATTATCCAGCTTGACTGATCTTCACGAGGCGCATGTCTGCCGATCCATCTTCCTCTATGTTCTCGTAAATTAAAGACAATTCAATCGTTCGCCCCCCATCTTATGGATTTGCGAATAATCTATGAAAGTCGGGATCCAATACCAGTGAATCAAATTACACGAGAGCGAGAGAGAAAACTGCAGGCTGGGCTTCGGAGTAAGGCTCCAGGCTTTCTGGGGCCAATGGCAAACCTACCTGAGAGGCTTCTCCTTCTCGTTCTGCCTTGGTTCTTCTAATGGAGAAGCTGCATGTGTTTATGATTATTGCGACTTGCCGATTGAATCCGCTGCACGGATGTGGTGATCTTCAAAGGAGCTGTGAGGAAATGGCCAACAGCAGATATTAGCATGCATACTCTTTCATTGCATGTTTCCCCATGAAATCAGGGATATTAATGGAGTCCTTATTCATATTAAATACAATTAAATAAAAGTAATTCTCTCCGCTAGATATTTTTTGTGATGCCCAACTAGAATTTACCATTCTTTAGTGTGTGACAGAAATGAGGACTTGAATGCAAGTGTTTAATGTTCTTTTTCATTATTTCTTCGTCTCCATGGCCTCATTATTTCCTCACCATCATACTATTACTATTCCTATACTCCCTTCCATCACAACGAGACATATATGCAAAAAGTTCAAAAATAATAGAAAAGGGGCTAAAGAAATCAGGTAAGTTGACTTTGGGATTGGGAGATGATTGAGTACATTGTGAGATAATTGGTTACTATGTGATGACGAAATCTGATTTTGAACTTCTAAGTCAGAACATATCAACATCGCCATTCATATCATATGAGTACAGGCCTTGGCGGAGCCCATTTTTATGTGAATGGTGGCTGAAATTGATACAAATGAGATCCCACATAAAATATATATTTTAAATGCATTTAATATAAAGTAATATGACATGAATTTGTATATACTTATGCTCACATATAAAAAATAAGAAACATGTAAGTGGGTTTTAAAAATAAAAGCATGTGTAACACTCGGACAATTTACATATCTTCCTAACCGATAATTTTATAAGGTAAACATTAGTGAAAATATTCTTGAACTATGGTGCGGTATGGTTCTAATAAATACCATTACTTCGTTATTTTGTAAAGTTTAATGCAATAAATGTTGATTCTTTGTGTGTAATCTTAAGAAATATGGGATAAACATATCTTTCAATGTTTTATCATATTTTTATTTTTAATCTATTTTAGCTATTAACCTTTTGATATTTTCTATGATGGAATCTCGACATTAAGTTCTAAAGATACGCATGTCTACACTTTCCATAAGTCTAGTCTTTCCTTTGCTCCCGTGCATATATTTTAGATAAATCTAATTCAGCCATAGGCTATATTTTAAGACAGCTTTTCCGAAGTTCTATCATTATCGAACTCGAAGCCCGTAAATCGTATTTTAAAACGCGTTATCATTAAATGTCAGCAAGTACTTGAATGCAGGCACATTAAATGGATCATATACGTTATGCCCATAAATGTACGTAAAAGGTCAACCCCTAGATTTGTAGAACGGCTCCAAGGCATTTCCGTTAGTAATATATCTATTAATGCTCTGAATACGGCTACCTATTCAAAGCCCAATGACCGTAGGTTGGAAAGTTTCTAATCAATACAAGCTCTCTCTCTCTCTCTCTCTCTCTCTCTCTCTCTCTCTTCCTGTGGATGTTCTGTAGGGGAAGACGCCAGAGGAATACGCGGCCAGAGTCAAAGAGGTCTTCGCCGGTGGCGGAACGGACGCCGGCGCCGCAGTGGCTTCCTCGCACGATGGCGGAGAAGACCGAATAAACGTCCAAAAGGTCTCGAGATCTCTCTGTGAAGACTCCGACTGGAGCGGGGTATGAACGACGACGGCGACACAAGCTGGAGATTCCCTCTGTTGGTGGATTTATTTAAGGCTCCGAGCAGGAGGACCTCGCAGCCACCGGAGAACAGCAAATCGTGCCACATGGCTTCCACTGTAACCCCATATTGACTATCTCCCCCGTCTTTCATTGTCTCTTCCAATAATCCAGAGAAAATTTCCTCTTTTGGTGCACGCGATTCATGATTAAAGAGTGGAATGTGATGATGCGGCTGTTGTTGTTGTTGTTGATGATGATACTAGGAACTATGTAAATAGTCCAGTGATTTATTCAGATACAGAACAGAAGAAGTCAGGGACAACTCCTTTTCAAGTAGTGCAGGCGGAGCTCGCAGGTCGCCCTCTCGCCAGGTTCAGGGTCAACGGCGGGGTCACCCTTTACACTCCGTCCCCTCTGGCGGAGCTCAGAAGAACGCCCCGCTCCCGTAAAAAACCCTAGAAGCAGCCTCCTTTGGTGCACGCGATTTCTCCTCCGCGCCTGCAACGTTCGCCTTCTCCTCGCCGACCTTGCCGCCGCCGCCGCCGCGGCCGTTGCTGTCCAGATCCATGGGCAACTTCATGTTCGCCAGGGACTCTGTGAACTGCTGCATGCTCTTCATGTACATGTCCACGATCTCCTGCTGGACGACGCTCGGCTCTGGGGCGATCTCGATTCTGATCATCGGCGGCGCGATGGCCGCGGCGGCCGGCGGCCCAGCAGAGGACTCCACCTCGGCGATCTTGTCTTCCCGGTTTGGAGACCCTGCGGTCACAGACGACTCGGATAAAGATCGAGACCCATTGATGGAGGTGCTGCAGGAAGGGTAGTCGCCGGTCTTCGCAGCGCCGCCGGAGGCATAGCTCTCCGACAGGAAGATCTCCATCAATCGAATTCCGGCGTCGGAATCCGGGGTCACCGAGCTCTCCGACTCGATCTTGTCGCAGGAGATGCCGAAGATTTCAGAGACCATCCGCTTATTCTCGTCCACAATCTCCAGGTCGGGGAATTCGATCTTCTCGTATTCGCAGGGGATGGAATCGCCGTCGCCGGAGTCCGGCAGAGCGCTCTCGGCAATCACGGCAGGCAGCGGTGGCGGGGGAGTGGCGATGGGCTTCGGCGAGGAGCCTGAAAATGAGATAGAGAGCTGGACGAACCCCGCAGGGGAGTGGAAGAGATCAGTCGACGACAGAGGAAACTCCCCGGCCAGCGCCCCGCTCCCGACGATCTCCGACAGGGGAACCAGGGCGAAGCCCAGGAGCTGGTCCTCGAGATAGTTCTTGACCCTGCTCAGCATCCAGATCTCGCACTTGAGGGAAGTGTCAGCCGTACAGCTGACGTCGAGATGGAGCCTGTCGTCGAAGACTGGATTCTGTCCCCCGCCATTGATGATCTTGCTGGAGACGGAACTTGCAGGGTCGCTTGTCAGGCAGACCTTGGCGTAGACGTCCTGCTTGTGGTAGATGCAGATGTTGTGAATATCTCGAGCCCGGTAGACGTGGACCTCGAGGGACCCGGCGAATTTCTCCGGAGGAGAGGCGGTGGCGCCGGCGGGATGACCTCCATGGCTCAGGTGGGGAGAAGCTTCAGGACCCAGTTTCTTCTTCTCCACGAGGGCGGACGAGCGGAGAGACGGCGACAGCGGCTGATAGGAAGCCATGGTCCGGAACCAGAGCTGAAAATGGGAAGATCAGGACTAGTCAGTACTGAGTGATTTCAGTCGAAGCAGAGGACGGCGGAGAAAGGGTAAACTCTCTGGAGACGGGAGGACGAAGATAGGAACAACCGGAACTACTACTGTTCTCTGGTTCGAGACAAATGGTTCCTCAGATCCCTAGGAGGAGAAGAAGAAGAAGACGCCCCCACGGGGATCCGTCCTCTAGAAGCTCGAGCTCCAAGCGACACCTAGCAGGAGCTCGACACCTGACCCAACGATCCGCTTCTGCAGGCCCCACGGCAGGTCCCTATTGGGAGGGATCGAGGAACGGAGATGAACGCCGTGGGAGACCTTCCGGCAGCCCTTTTCAAGAGTCCCGAGTCACAGAAAATTCCGGAGAGAAACGGTGACGCAAGGCTACCGGGAAGAGCACCGCGATCGATGATCGACGGAACCCTAGACCCAGAATTCTTCTCCTCACGAATCACGGGAAAAAGGGAAGAAAATCGAAGAAAGAGACAAACAGAGGAGCTTACAGGTACCGATCGAGGAGTCGGAGGACAAGAACCACAACCACCGTCAGAGCCCACTGAGCGGGAAGAACCCACGCGGCTGTTCTTCTAAAGAAAGTAGGAACGCCGCAGAAGAAAAGGTGCCTGCGAGTCGCCCAGAAAGCAGAGATGGAGGAGAAAAAGATGACAAAAAATTTCAAAAGTCGGAGACGGAGTTAATTTTTTCCCGTCTTCAATCGGAAAGAACAGAGCATGAGTGTGTGCACTTCACCCTTTTCACACCTTTTTTAATCCCGTGCGCAGGGCGCGGTCGGAAAAGAACCCTCAGTCACTCGTTCGCGTGATCGATCCCGGCGAACAGCTTTTGCAGCAACTTGTCCAGAGACAGAGGAGGAGGAGCAGGAAGAGGGACAGCGACCAGAGCCCTCTCCTTCTCCGTCAGCGCTCCGGCCTGAACCTCCCACCGCTCACTGCAACCTCCTTGCGCAGTTCGATTTCAGGAATCAACATTTCCGATCTCTCCGCTGACCGCAGGACTTCATCGGCTACGACATCACGAGATATGGCGAATCCAGGGCCGGGGAGTTTCCCCCCGACCACGACCTTACGAGATATGGCGAAACCGTCGGTAGCCTTAAAGGGACTGTAAGCGACCGCCTTGTCGTCCTTTTCCTCTGGTCTTTATTGGCCGCCACTGGACCCGTCCACTTCGCTCTCGCAAAGCGTGATGGCCGACGTTTCCTCCTCGCTCTGCTCTTCCTCTCCCTCTTCCTCATCTTCCTCTCCCTGTTCCTCATCCCGGGTAGCATTATCTATCGGGTAGAACGATTCCATTGATAATCTGGACGGTAAGCGAGCACCATCTAGGGTAACTAACCCCCTACAACCTGCTTCCCTGATTCTCCCCTTATCTGGGGCCTCTGCGCTGTTTCTTTCCGAATTCTGAGGCTGCTCTGACCACGAACGACGACGACGGCGACGGCGACGGAGGCGGCGACGGCGGAGTGGAGAGATCAAATCTGCCCAGAATTATTGCGAGCCGCCCACGAGTCGGGCCCGACGTCGACAGATGGCTGGCTCCTCGTGGGGCCCACCTTGGACGAAATACACGGACCAACTCGGCTGAAGAGGGTCATGATGTAGGTTGGTGGGTCCCATCTCGTGGAATCATTCCATCTGTCAGAGGACGACGGACAGGCTGGCAGGCACCCCCCCTTCGAAACCTTCCCACGTGGGACCAGTCGGGGCCATGACGCTACAGAAAAACTGGGTTTAATGCTAAGTGTGGCGTCCACGTGGACAAAAGATTGGGTGAAGAGAGTTGATTAACTACTTAAGATGTGATTTGACAAGTGCGGGGCCCACCGACGGCCTTCCCTCCCTCAGGCCGCTGTGATCTATCCGGCGACGGCGCCGGCGAGTGTTGCCCAAAACGGGGGGCCGACCGGCGTCCGTTGCCGGCGACGGGACGGGACGACCATAAGTCCTACGGGTATGTACAGGTCATTCTGTGTGGATGGTTCTTACCTGCCCACGCCGTGCTCAGCGCGGACGGGTCGGCGTAGCAGGGGAGATCGCCGGGGGGGTGCCTTCGTGGCGAAGCTCGCGCAGGTACGCCAGAAGGGTCTCCGCCTGAGACAGACAGGAAGGGAGTGTTAATGGCAGCGGCGGGGGCGCGAAGAAGAAAGGGGTCGGCGGCGGAAAGACTGTCAGGCTTTACCTTGTGCTTGGCGCGAGCGGTGCCGCACTGGGACAGCGCGACGAGGGGGGGGATAGCCCCCTCGCGCACCAGCAGGTGGCGGTTGGCGGTGCAATCGGAGCAGAGTTGCAGGAGCGCCGCCACGGCGAACTCCTTCCCCTTGACGGACCCGTCTTCGATGGCCTCCACGAGCGCCGGGATGCCGCCTTCATCGACGATGGCCTCCCGCCCCTCGGGGATGCCGGCCAAGCTGTTGAGCACCACCATGGCCTTCTCCGTCGTACCGGCTCCGTGGTCCACCACGAGCTCCACCAGGGGGCGCACCGCTCCGGCGGTCACCGCTCGCTCCTTGTTCTGTTGGGTGGTGCAGAGCTTGTAGAGAGTCGTCAGTGAGTCCTTCTTCCCGCGGCTGGACCCGTGGAGCAGGAGGGAGACCAGCGGGGGGATGGCCCCGCAGGCGCCGATGGTCGCCCGGTTGTCCTCGATCATGGACAGGCTGAGCAGGGCGCAGGCGGCGTTCTGCTTCGCCGCCTCGGTGCCCGTCTTCAGGGCGTACACCAGGGGCTTGATGGCCCCCGCCGCCGTTATGCGAGCCTGGTTGGACTCCTCCAGAGAGAGGTTCAGCAGCGCCGTCGCGGCGTTCTCCTGCGTCGCCGGGTCGGCGCTGCGGAGGAGGCCGACGAGTGAGGAGATCGCCCCGGGGCAGCCCCCGATCACCGCGCGGAAGTCCGACCGGTGCTTCGCCAGCAGCCGGAGCTTGCCGGCCGCCGAGCACTTGGACTCGAGTGAGGAGGAAGAGGAGGAGCTCTCCAGAGTCTCCACGCAGGACCGCACCGCCAGCTCCAGCTCCTCCAGCGCCACGACCTTGTCGCATATCTCGCCGGACGTGAACGAAGGGACGGCCGCACCGCTGCTGCCCTCTCTCTGCCGGCGGCGCACGCGACTCATCTCAGGATCCTCGCGAGCCGCGCCGGCGCCGCCTTCCCGCTGCGGGCTGGCGACGCCGAGGGAAGCAAGCCGCTGCAGCTCCCCGGAAATGTCGCTATTGAAACTGGAGACGTCGGAGAAGTCCTGGGAGAGCTCCAGAAGCTCAGACGCTATCCCCAACCCCGGATTGGAGGACGACGCCATCTTCCCGGCGAGCTCCCGCAGGCGGAAGTCGACGACCGAGTCGGTGAGGTTCTCGGAGACCGAGGCGGAAGTTGACCTCCCTCCCGCCGGAGAGGCGAAGGCCTCGCTCCCGTCGAAGCTGCAGGAGTGCGCCTCGGCACGGAAGAGGTTGGGCCGGAAGGTTCGCATGGAGCGGCCGGGCTGCCGCTGCATCCTGCCGGACTTGTCGCCGGCGGCGAGCTGGCGAGACGGCACCTGTGATTCGGCCACGGAGACCATTGCCGCCAATCGGCAGAGAGAAGATGACCTCCTCCTCAGAGAAACAGCCCCGAGCTGTCGTCACCGCCGGCTACGAAGCCTGTGGATTTTGTCAGACCTGTTGGCGGTGGGCGTCCGGTCTCTTCTCTGCTCCCCAGTCAGTCCTTCCTCTCCCTTTTAGCCTCAAAAATAACAAAAATGCCCCTCCACCTCCCACATATTCCTCTGTCCAATCAACCACGCTACCAAATTGAACAATTTCAAGGGGCCAACTACTATTTATCGCAGCCGCCCATCTCAATCAACAAAGATCACCACCGCGTTGGAATCGGAGCAAGGTGGGGTCGGCGGCCTGGAGCGAGTCGCTTTCCCGTCCAAGCGTCCTGCCTTTTCACTTTATTTTATTCACGGCGAATAAATCCATGGGAACGTGCCAGAACAACTGGATGTACACGTGGACTTCCCACCCACCCCGCCTTTGCCCCCAAGAACGCCACGTGGCTATTTATTGATAAGAAATAGAAAAATTCCAACCATGGATTTCCTAGGTCAACGCACGGTTTTTCTAGCGAAGGGCAATGGAATTCTGCGATCACGTGATTCATGTGATTTGGCTCCGGAGCGGATCCTCACTCGTTGGATTTAGATTATTTTTTATAACATTTTCAAAGTTCGGGATATAACTTGGTATTGATTTTTTAAAAGTCGCCGTTGATTTTAACCTTATTTTTCATGATAAAACTGAGAGTTTATAATAAAAACTAATATCAGAATATGCCCCCGCTCATGATCTGGGAATTCACTGGCTATATTATATAAGTAAATAGCACTCGGCACGTGGGCATCGCTGTCTCCCCTGGCGGATGCAGTTGACCAACAAGCTTTCTCTGCCCTACCCTTCGGAGGAGCTCTCGACGATCCCCCTCTCGGTCCTCGTCGTTTTCTCCCCCTCGTGGGTTCTCCTCTGAGACAAGAACCAGGCGTTGACCTCAAGCGTCACGCACACCCCCAGCAGCGTCGACAGCACCAGGCAGTAGCCCAGCTTGGCGTAGGACCGGCCGAGGCCCATCAGCTCGAAGCCCTGGAAGACGTTGACTAGCGCGAGCACCACGCAGGTGTAGCCCACGAGGTGGTGGTACGACTTCCAGTACCGGCGGAACCTGTGGGTAGTCTTCGGCCGGAAGAGCAGCGCTAGCGTCTGCAGCGCCGCCGTAGAGAACGCCGCCGCCCCCAGCTTGCCGTGGAGCCCGTAGACAGCACTCCGCGAGGAGCTCCTCCCCAGGTGGAGCCCGACGGCGAATCCCGCTGTGCCCATGACGAAGCCCACTAGCTGCACGGCGGCGTGCGCGTAGTACCAGCTCGGTCCGGCGGACTCGTACTGCCGCAGGTAGCGCGCCACCACGACCCCGACGGGCAGAAGGAACCCCCACGAGAGTGCGCTGAGGACGGCGTGGGCACGCTGCAGATTGGCTCGGCGGTGGGGTGGCCCTGCCGTTAGGATGGAGGCGGCGATGTCGACGGTTGCTCGGGAACTGAGATCCGCCGGCGTTAATGGGTGGATACTGGGGGAGTGGCCCTCCATCTGTGAGCCCCGGTTCCACACATGGTGGAGCGTCGTTCGGTTGGGCGCCAGCCGCAGGGTCGCGTGGATCTCCACGGCGGTGCGGCGGAAGACGGCGGAGGAGGCGAGGAGGGGGATGTCGAGGGGGCGGGAGGTGAGCGGCGCTAGCTGAAGCTTGGCGGAGGAGTCCAGCACGAAGGGCAGGACGGCGGCGCTGCCGGTGGCGGGGTCAGTGAAGGCGACGAGGGCGCGAGTGCCGGTCATCTCTGGGGAGCCGGGGTTGATGCCCCAGGCAACCCAGCCGGTGGGGGAGATGACGGTGCCGGAGAAGACGACGTCGACGGTGGCGTTTTGGGCGTGGTAGGTCCAGGCGAGCGAGGCCTGCTGGGTGGGCAGATTGGTGCACTCCTCGTAGGTTCTGACGGCGGTGAAGACGGTGCAGCGGGGGGCCTCGGCTTCGGCCCCCGGCGGCGCCATGAGAATGAGAGCTGCAAGTAATCGAAGGAAGAGCATGGCGACCGCGTAGGAAGAAGATGGTGACTTCAGTCGCAGTGATGAGAGCAGAAGTGCTCGTTAAGATGTGCTTTCATCGCTTAGACGGTGTCGGTGCAGCAGGGTGGCCATGATTAGTAACGACCGGTTGGCAGGTGGTACTCGGCTTGAGCTTGTCTTTCAAGGCAAGGCGGGAGTGATTTCATGTGCCGTGTCCTTTTTCTCTCGACGGCGAAGTGCTCGACCGGTGCCGGCCCGAGGGAAGACGGCGGTGCCACCGACAGGACGGACGGCGGAGCTGAACCGCCGCAGTTCTCACGAGTGGCTAGAAAATTGGGGGGTGACGGCGGTTTGCGGCAACTTCCTCCGACCTGGGCAGAACCAGGCGGTCGTGGGTTGTCCAGGGCCAGCGCCGTCGGCTCGTCGGCTGACAGCGATCGCTGGCGGCACTAGCTCACTGTGACATAGATTGTGGCGTCAAATGGTCGTCACATGAAGCCCAAAGTCAACCCGGATAGCAGATTCGTGCGTGATTTGGGCTCCGAAGTCGAGGAGTCTGTTGTGCAGAGAGATTATGTGCTGTGGCCTACGCTGGACGCTAAACATCATCTGGCCTTAACGTTGACCACAATTTCTTTTCGATTCTTGAGAGCTTTAAAGAAAGTCTTTCTGAATCATTTCGACCACACTAATTCGAAAGAAATATTGCGAAAGATCAATACTTTCGACTAAATTGATCAGACGACATGAAATTCGATCTTGCGGAGATCGAATTTCTCGGAATCAAAATATCTTTACACTGGGGTGGGGGTGTTTCTTGCTCAGGGGCCCCTGGCTTGGTTGCGAAAGGGCAGGTGGTGTGGAGCTAAAGCACAACCGACGGCGCCGCCGGGTCTTCTGGAGAAAAAGGCGAGAGGTCCCGGGTCGGCGGCGAGATGGCGGCGAACACCGGCGGCGCCGCCCTGGAAGGGGAGAAGGTCGTGCTGGTGCCGTACATGAGGGAGCACGTCCCTCGGTACCACGAATGGATGCAGGATCCGGCGCTTCTCCAGGCGACTGGGTCGGAGCCGCTCACGCTCGAGGAGGAGTACCAGATGCACCTCTCCTGGATAAGCGACCCTAGCAGTTGCTGCTCTTCTTCCCCTTCCCATTCATTCTCTCACCGATCTGTTCCTCTCCGAGTTTCCTCCACCGGGAGGGGGTGATCGAACTGATCTCTCCTGGTGCGCGTGATTTTCAGAGCACACTTTCATAGTCCTGGATAAGCAGCGGATCAGGGGAGGCGGCTTCGTCCACGGAGATCCCCACGTCGAAGGTCAGAGATCCCTCCCGTTAGCCGTCGTCATCCTTCTTCCCCCCGTATTAGGGCTTCGGCGATTCCATTTACGTCTGAATGATCCTCGCTGAGGTTTCTTTTTCTGCTTCTTCTTCCTCCTGGAAATCTGGCGGAGGAAGAACTCAGGGCCGTCTTGTTGATCGAATCTGCCTCACATCCTGGTTCTCTTCTGATCTCCGACCCCTATTTCCGTGGTTGTTCCTCCTCTCGCAGCTATGGTTGGCGACGTCAATATCTACGCGAACGATCCTGACGATCCGCGGACAGCAGAGATTGAGATCATGATCGCCGAACCAGAGAGGTGGGCTCCCTCCCTCCCTCTTCTGCTTTTCTTTCTTCGCCGTCTTCTTCTTCCGGCTCTTCGGACATCTGCCATTACAAAATCTTCAGATTTGCATATTATTTTAGCAGGAATTGGATCCTTGTGTAATCGAATTAGCAGGAGCTGCGATCGGAGAACAGATAGATGGTCGAGAGTAACGCTTGGGATCATCAATCCAGAATAATATCCTGGTCTTGGCGACGAAGAAATCCAATAAATTCATGAACTGGGTGCCGGTAGAGCACGCATTGAACCAAAACTGAAACAACAGTGTCGGTGTTGATGATTCTATGGAAGATTGATAACCAGTCGAATGTGCCGATGAGAAGAAGGCCAATGATAATTTGCGCCATATTCATTCTTCTTCTCTACATGGGCTGCAGTTCTTCCCACTCCAGTCGAATGTTTGTTTCCTTCATGCTCTTGATTTTGGAATGGGATTTACTACGGAGGTGCTGTGTGGGGGTTGACCCAGAGGAGGGTTGACTTTTGATCCATGACCCTGTAAAGATCCGTACTCTATGCCTGGGGATTGAGGCTTTCTTAGTCTGTCTTTAAGAAATCGATGGATGAACAGTCAAGAACACGAGCCCTCCGCGTGCAATCCCTTAGATTGGGCAAATTCCTGCTGCATCTCCCGGTTGCCTTGCTTTATGTTCGTCTCGTCGGTCATCATGGTCCTTGCTTGCTCTGTGCAGCCGCGGGAAGGGGCTCGGGAAGGAAGCTGTCTTGATGATGATGGCATTTGCCATTAAAAGCTGCGGGATTCAGAAATTCCGGGCCAAGATTGGGGATTCAAACACGACTTCCCTCTCTCTATTCCGGAAACTGGTCTCTCTCTCTATCCTTCTCCCTCTGTCTCTGTCTCTGTCTCTGTCTCTGTCTCTCTGTCTCTCTCTGGGTCTGTAATCTTGTTCTTGGTTGGATGCAGGGTTTCAAGGACTACTCTCACAGCGAAGTATTCAAGGAGGTACTTCTTGCGGTGGTTTGATGACGTTTTGCCGCCCCTGTGATCTCCTCCCTGATCTCGTATTCTGCGGCAGGTAACTCTTGAGATGGCGGTGGAGCCTGCCGAGGGCGAGGCACCGGAGAACAGTTGACCCAGTTGATTTTCCAGGGACTTGTCGGGGCACAGAAGAGAGAGAGAGAGAGAGAGAGAGAGAGAATGGAGGGAAGGGTAATTCTTGCTATATTTTCACGTTTTTAAATGATGTCGAGTAGAAGGGTATCTGTGTCATTTACTTTTCCTCATTTGAAAGTTCACAAAATTTCAAATCATAACGGCTCTATGAGGGCAGCGAAAGTTTTGCCCGTGAACCGCGGGGCTAGGGGAAATGCCGGGTTCCGCCGAATCTATGTCGGTCAGCGGGCCGTGTCGGAGATGGGTTTCGTAATCTTATCCAGTTCCTGCGGAACATTGGCGTCGAGGATCTCCCTCCTCTCCCCTTTTTGAACGGGGAGGGAAATCCCCGATCTCCAACCCCCGCCTACTACGCCGCCCTGGTAGATCTCGCCCTTCCGACAGACATCACGAGAGGAGAAGCAGCAGCAAAATGAGCCCCGGAGCTCTAGGAACGCTCAGCAGTCCCACCAGGTCCTTGTCTCCCCTCCTACCTACATCGGACCTTCTCTCCCCCAGGACGATGAGCCCAGTTCGCCGGAGTTCCAGATCCGGCCAGGAGAATGCGCCTCCTCCCGATCCCAACATCCAGATCGATCGCTCGGCTTCACCCGTTGTCTTGAAGAAGTCGCCGACCAGACTGCGAAACATGGAGAAGGTTGTCAGTGATGTGAACTCCGTGGAGGATGGAACGCCAGATGGTTCTGATTCATCGGTGAAGGTGGGTCAAGGCTGACTTTTCCTTCTGGAGTTGAAACTTTCGAGACACATACTCCTTTGAAGCCTTATGCTTCATTTTTATTTTTCATTAGCCTGGACGTGCTCGGATCTAATTCTTTTTTCTCCGATCTTCCGAATTCGCTCAGTTCTGTCCACTTTTCAGTCCACTTCACACAAACATGGAATATTCTTCTTCCCACGCTTACGCTCTGGAATGTAAACTCCGACTGCGAATTGCCCCTTCCTTCATCATCATCATCATCTCCAACACCAGCATCGTCGTCGTTGTCCTCCTGCTCCTCCTCCTCCTCCTCATCATCTTTTCTTCTACTTCTTCCCCTCATCACCGACATTCACCGTATTCTGCAGGTTGTTGTTCGAATCAGACCGGCCCATGCTCACGATAAAGGAGGGGAGAAAGTAACAAAGAAAGTCTCTTCTGATTCGTTAGTGGTTGGAGGGAGATCGTTTTCCTTTCATTCGGTTATGGGACCCGAGTCCACTCAGGTTGATCCTCGGTTCTAGAATTCGTCTAATTAATATTTTTACTGGGACTCGGACAAATCACGGCTTACCTTTATGTGATTTTATCCTATTTCCTGATGATACTCAGGAAGACGTCTTCCGGTTGGTTGGATTGCCATTGGTGAAAAATTCCATGGCTGGGTTTAACACTTCAATTTTATCGTATGGAGAGGTACGGAATGGTCTCTTGCCTTCTGCATAGTTGATCTCAATCAGTGGACTGTTAAGTACTCGCTCTCTTATATAATTTCATCATTTTTGTGCACAAGACTGGAAGCGGGAAAACATACACAATGTGGGGTCCTCTTAGTGCCATGCTTGAAGAGAGTTCTATCGACACCTGTCAGGGAATTGCTCCTCGCATATTCCACATGCTCTTTCAAGAGATTCAGAAGGTTAACCTGTTCTTTCCCATTTTATGTGTTAAATGAATGCAAACTTACATTCATGGGGTTTAGGGAATATCGGCAACGCTTGGGCATCTTATTCGGATTTATTGGTTTGAAACGTGATATAATGTTCAGTTCCAAGTGCTGACTCTGTGCGAGAGCCTTATCATGCATTTTTCCTGTTGATATTCGTGCAACTTTATAGACTATTTTCTCAAGGTGGATCTTCCAATTTTCATTCAGAACCAAGAGAGCGCTGTTGACAAACAGTTGAGCTTTCAAACCAGATGCTCCTTTCTAGAGGTAAATTTGAATGATCGATTAGCACTCCTCAGAGTCCTCAGTCATTCCTTTAAACGTATATTTTTCGCATGTGCAGATATACAATGATCAGATAAATGACCTACTTGATACCTCTCAGAGGAATCTTCAGGTAATACATTTGCCTTTCTCCTTTTGGATCACAGGTGTTAATCTCTACTTCTGCCTGATCCTTATTGTCTTGTTCATGACTGTATGTTTAACCTCCATTGATTTACCAGATAAGAGATGATACCAAGAATGGTTTCTATGTTGAGAACTTAACCGAGGAGTATGTTACCACCGTTCAGGATGTAACTCAGATTATAGTGAAGGTGAGACGTCTTATTTCACTTTGAAAGGCACGTTCGATAGTCCTGGAACTGCCACAGCCTGTATACAGAGCTTTCGTTTAGTTTTCCGAACACGCTGATTCTTTGATTTTGGGTTATATGTTATCTTTCTAATCCATAATTCCAATTAAGGATCCTGTAATCAGTTCCTTGCATCAAATCAATGTTCTTTTTTCTTAACTTGAAGTTTGCTTAAGGTATTGTAGTTCCTTTTTTTTTTAGTATACTAGATGAAGATGAGTGTTATTTACCATACTCATATTTTAACATCACGTGAATTTCATAACATTTACCCTTAGTTTGTAAATTTCATGTTTTCGTATATTGATTTCTTATGGAATTTTTTTCATGACTGTTTCTCTCTTTTACCGTATCTTGTGCTTGAAATCTTTATTGGTTGTTGTAGGGTCTTTCCAGCAGAAGGGTCGGTGCAACGAGCGTAAATTCCAAAAGTTCACGATCTCATATTGTCCTTACGTGCGTCATTGAGTCTTGGTGCCAAGTATGTTACGACAATCATACTGTTCGCTTCTTTTTTTCATTATTATTATACGAGTATTTCTGCTACAAGTTGACTCTTAAATTTCAATATTATTTCTGGACTGGAAATTCTGTTCTGCAATAGATAACGCCAGGAAGGCGTGCATCCACAATTTTATTTTGGACGGTTATTATGATCATGAAACCTTTGTGGTCAGAAAGCGAATAAAATAACTAGTAATAATTGTTTTTGACATATTGCTAGCTTTTCTTGGATATTATCTCTGTGGATTGTTGTTGAAGAAAAATTACTTGCTGCAGGGCACATCAACAAAGTCTTTAAGTAGCTCAAAAATTAGCAGAATTAGCCTTGTTGATCTTGCTGGATCAGACAGGAACAAACTCAATGAAGCTGATAGACAAAACACAAAAGAAGGAAGAAAAGTACACAAGTCCCTATCAAGTCTTGGGTACGACTATGACGATATGAATCATTGTCATATTTCGTTTTTCCTTTTACATGCATTTTCTTATCGCATCATTGAATAATGCCCATAAATATCTAGTTTCTATATTACCTCCTCCTTTTGTCTATATCACAGGAAATTAGTCAACATTTTGGCCGAAGCAAGCCATTCTGGAAAGTGCCAGGATATTCAAATCCCATACACGGACTCTTGCCTAACAAATTTGATGAGGGAATCTCTGGGTGGCAACGCGAAGACAGCTTTCATTTGCACAGTTTCCCCCGATGCCAGGTATCTAACGAAATAAGAAAATTTCCGAGATGCAAATAATATAATATCCCAACGTGCTGAATGGAGAATGGTGTTGTTTGATGCAGTTGCGAAAATGGAACATTGCGCACATTAAGGTTCGCACAACAGGCCAAATGTATTCAGAACAAACCAGCAGTAAATGAAATAACAGAGGATTATGTCAATGACCTGAGTGATCAGATTCGTCATTTAAAGGTAAGTATTCCTTTATAGCGCATCAAATATTAAATGTTTGGTCAACAAATAGCTTCGTGTAATACTCATCTCTACAGGAAGAGCTGATACGGGAAAAATCATACCAAGACACTCCAGTAGGTGCTACTGGTGGATACTTGAGAGTAGAGAAGGCTCGTCAGAGTCTAAATCTACTTAGGGCGAGTCTGAACCGGTCTTTAGCTTTACCCCCCATGGATAATGACTCCGAGGAAGAGGTTGAAATTAATGAAGACGACGTGAGTCAGTTGTGTGAGCAACTAGGTGATCTGCATTCTGTCCTCGAGGAAAATCCGATCATTGTTCAAGATCATGATGGTGATGTGAAAGGAGCATCCTTAGAGGACCACTCCGGAAATGACGAAGGGAATGCCAGAGGCTCCATTGCAGATGGTTCTTTAAATCTTCAATGCGGAGTTGTCTCTTGCTTTGAGGAAAGCAATCTCGATGAACCTGTCTCATCTGAATCTCCCAAAGTCAGTAGTTCTCTGAAGAAAGGTTTTGCGAGCTCACCAAATCTTTCTGAAAGCAAGACAAAAGGTCCTGCCGTCCCAAGTAACAATTCAGAAGACAAGTCCATTAAGAAGAAAATGGAGCTTGTTCGTTCATCTTTGCAGTCGAAAAAGCTAAGCCCAACTGATTCTTTGGCCGCCAGCCTTCACAGAGGTTTGCAGGCCATCGACTATCATCAGCGGAATTCAGCCTCAGAGAAAACTCCTCTTACCTTTTCTTTCGATCATTTAATAGCGAAATCATCCGAGTCTTCTGATTTGACTGATAAAAGTGTACCACAGTCAACCTCAGAGGGGCCTCTTACATCAAAGTCAACTGCTCCTTCATCCCAGAAGGAAATCAACCCAGACATGCAGATTAATCCACTTAGTAGTAGTGAAGGAAACTCTGGAGGCACAAAGGGCAATCTCTTCGGGGTATATATCAAAGTCAACTACTTCTGTTTTAATTCTGCACGGATCAGAACTGACCATCTTTGTAACTGTCAGAACAAAGGAGACTCTTTGGCTGACATCATCATTCGAAAGAATGAACTGGAGAAGATATGTGAAGGGCAAGCAGCCAAGATCAACGAGTTGACTAGTCTGGTATGAGCTTTTTTTTATCCTCCTCCGACTGTCAGTTCTGGCGTAATGTGTGTCGTTGACAAAGTTCCATCTCGATTTTACTTGAGCAGGTTGAAAAATACAAAACCGAGTGTGAAGCTAACTCCACGGCGAAGCAGAAGCCAGAACAAGAACTCCCCGGGGAAGACAACATACCTGCGAAAGATGAATGCGAGGTCAGCGTCTTTGATTAATGTCGACACCACCTTCTCTCGCTGCCTCATCAGACTTTGATAATGTTACTTACAAGGCACCGCGATTTTTGCTTTTGGTCGGAAACTCTCAGAACCATTGTGGCGAGGCACAGGAGGCCATGATCGAGAAGGATCCTGATACCGTATCCTCCTCCGCGAACGACTCCCTCCTCCATCTGCTCAGAAATGGACCCCCCAACCCCAACCCTTCACAGGCAGACAGGGGAGAAGACCTCGAGGAGGAGAGGGAAAGGTGGACCGAGTCGGAGAGCAGATGGATCTGCCTGACGGAGGAGCTTCGGATCGATCTCGAATCACACCGCCGGCTCGCAGAAAGCAAGGATCGCGAGCTCGCCATGGAAAAGAAGTGCTCAGCGGAGCTGGACGACGCCCTGCAGCGCGCCATAGTCTCCCAAGTGAAGATGGTCGAGCATTTCGCGGAGTTACAGGAGAAGCACAACGAGGTGGTGGAGCGGCACAAGAGGGTCATGGAAGGGGTTGCCCAGGTGAAGAAGGCGGCGGCCAAGGCCGGAGCCAAGGGCGCCGGCTCCGCCTTCGCCGAGGCCCTTGCTGCTGAGCTGTCGACACTCAGAGTAGAGAGAGAAAGGGAGATTGCGCTCCTGAAGAAGCAGAACAGGGGACTGAGGGTTCAGTTGAAGGACACAGCAGAAGCTGTGCACGCCGCCGGTGAGCTCCTCGTGAGGCTGAGGGAGGCTGAGGAAGCCGTCACTGCGGCCGAGGTCAGTCAAGTTAAAATGATTTCATTAATTTCCTCACTCGTTTTCTTGTCATGGTGTTCATTCATATCAATGGCCGGTTTGAGCTTCAGGGCAAGAGCGAGGAAGCGCAGAGGGAGATGGAGAAGCTGAAGAAGCAGATGCGGAAGATGAAGGAGAAGCACGCCATGGAGATGGCGACGGTCAAGCACTGCCTGGCCGACAGCCGCCTCCCGGAGTCTGCTTTGGAGCCGCTGTTCCGGGCGGAAAGGAGAGAAGACGCCGCCGAAGGGTCGACCAGCGCCGGCGGCGACGAGGAGGAGTCGTGGAGAGCCGCATTTGTGTCCTCCTATAGATAGATTGTTACAAGAAGCTGTTGAAGGTTCGTGCCTCCTGTTCTGAAAGATCTCGGCAGTTGACCCCGGATGGATAGTCGACTTGGGTCAAACAAGATACGTTTGGCCGTAGCAGTTGACCTACTCAGATTCAACTGTCTCTCGTTGAGTACCCTGAGTGCCGCGATTGCGTAAAGACAGGTTGTCTATCATATTACTGTGTGCTTAACATGGGTCGATGTATGTTTGTTCGTTAGAGTTGACTTTATATACTATCTTTCTTCCCAAAGATAGGATTTTTATGGTAATGTATTATGTGTATATGTGTGATAAAGAGAGAATCGCCGAGTTGAGTCGCTTTGATGGGCTCGGCGAGGCGATTTCCTTACGGGTTCAGTAGAGGACAGAGCGGCGAGGTTTTGGGTTCTGCAGTATCGGACAGATTGGAAATCTTGTCCGTAGGTTATCAATCTATCGGTCGTAAATCCTGCAAAGCAAAAAATGTAATCCCTTTGCATCGTATTGGACCCACCTTCCGCGCCCTTACCAGCTGAAAGGATAGATAGAATCCGGTGCTCGGGGGGAGGAGGTCATCAGCGCGCCGAACGATGGCCGCCGACGGAATGACGGGGGTTCCTCCGGACCCTAGCGTGGATGCGGATGGTGAGGACGCGACGGGAAGCCGTGAACCTGCTGTGGAAGTTCAGATCGCTGATAGAGCGCAGAGCGCCGCCGTTTGCGCCGGCAGGGCCTTCGGCGAGTCGATTGCCGGGGGTTTCATGGGCTCCGTGTTTGGCTACGGTCAGTGTAGCTTAGCTTCCGCTCTTTTGATGTTATTCTTCTCCTCCCTGCCGCCGCGGCGCTTGCCGTTCTTGAATCTTCTCCGCGTACTGCGCTGCGGATTTCCTTTTAGAGGGTAATTATCTGAGATGCTATCTGGGTTTCGGATTTTGGCGAGGCGGTTTTGCCGATTTGTGGATTTTAAATTGGTATTTCACTTCGTGAGATGATGGCTTCTCATTCCCTTTTATTCATTCTTCGTTGTTTACCTCTTCTTTGGAGAAGGACTTTCTTCGATTGTGCCAATGCCTTGTAGTAAAATTGGTGCTGGAATAATGGCCCCCTTTTGCTCCTCGGTATCGGGACTAAGAAAAATCGTTCGGACAACCAACATCCATCTTATTCGTGTTATGAATACCAGTATATCTATTGAAGATCGTTGAAGTGATATTTCCGTAGGGATTGGATAGGATGTGACTAGAACTCTAACAAAAATAGGAAATATCTTTCAAACGCTTTGCACTGCTTTTGTCTTTCAATTAAATATCGAATCATAATCATGCAGACGGGTGGGTTTTATCGATGGGCTTGTCTGCAATGCTCCTCGGGTTCCTGTCTGTAGAAGTCTTCCCTTGAAAGGCTGTGGGGGGTGAAGTTGTCCGTCATTTTGATATGGGTCCATACTGTTCTCTGTCTTAAGATTGTCTGTACCCAGTGGGTAGACTGTCAAATTTAGTCTTCCATAACAAGTGTTATCAATCAGGAAATTATCTAATGTGGATTAGTATACATCAAGCAAGAATAAATTCTGAAGATTAGCCGAATGCCAAGTTCAATGATATATATATTTTTTCTGTTTATGTGTTAGTGTGGATTGGTGGATTGCATATATTCATGTGGTCGAAACCATTCATCTCTGTGTGGATTGTATGTCCACTGCGGATACTGGAAAATTATGTCAAGACGTTATTTATTTTTCCAATCATGTAACCTCATCATGGTTGATGTTGCGTTCTTCTGTCCTGCGAATATGGCTTTACATCTGTGGGCGAACATGCTTTTCAGGCACCGGACTCTTTGCACATAAGCATGGATTCAAGGGATCGCTCGCAGATGCTGGGTCTTCTGCCAAGGTTGTTCCTCAAATCTTCATCTAGAAGCCGAATTAATTCTTTTTCTTCACTATTGTCTGCATATTTTCCTCCTGAAGGTCCATTGCTGCTATGTTTATATTCGTTGCCATACGCTCCATATGCTGCCAAAGCATTTACTTTGGGCCAGTCAAGCAATCTAACCCTCTTCATGTGACCTTTCATTCACCAGACTTTCGCTGTCTTGTCTGGAGTCCACAGTCTTGCCGTCTGCTTGTTAAAGTTGCTGCGGGGGAAGGATGATGGTACGTCCCACACGGATTTCATCGACTCTGAGAGTGTGGAATAAAATTTGCTTTCTCATGGCGGCCGTCTCCTCTCTTCTGCAGAAATCAATGCCGGGATTGCGGGGTGTTGCACTGGCTTAGCCCTGAGCTGTCCGGGTAATTAGAGAGGCCTGCTTAATCGCTTGCAGTAAATTATGGGTGATTATATGTAGATAAATGTATTGATGTAGAGGTTTTTGATGATTCCAGTTCGTGTGTTTATGCCGAGCAGCCCATTTCCCCAGATTTTGTGATCATCTCTGCATTCTGTTCGATGAACGAGCCCCTTGTGGAGATGGATGGTTTATGAACCAGATTTCTCTGTTCAATCCTCCAGGTGCTCCGCAGGCCATGCTTCAGAGCTGCATCACCTTCGGGGCATTCTCATGGATTTTCGAGAAGATCAACAAGCAGCAGGCTGCACTGGCGCTCCCGTTCTCGCCAGAGAACGCCGTTGGAAGCCGATCGCAGGCTGTTCTTCCGCCCTTCTCGCTGGCTCTTCCTCTGCACGTGGCAGAGGGCTTCTCCCTCCTCTGCCAATCCCGGGAGAAGAAGACCACGCGGGGAGCTCACCGCCGAGCCTGACTGTTTAGGAAGTCCGCTCACCATTTTCTTCTTTTTCTTAATCTGTTTCCCTGCCCATCGTGTCGTACTCGTCACCTTGCCCTCTGTAAAACGCAGAATGGCGGCTTGCCCCCTGTTCTGTCTTTGCATGGGGGCATTTTCTCCAAACCCTCTTCTGTGGCGGGATTTCTGGACCCTCCGGATGCGGTGGCGAGTTCTCCGCGGCGCGCTCGAGTTCCATCAGCGCCTTCAAGCCCATGTGTGTGCCTGGTTGAGGATCTTCGCTACGAGGCCTGGCTCTGCACATCCCGGTCGTCGCCTATGCTCACATGAACGCCTAAGCCTTTTGCTCGCACACACACTGCGCTATAATTTAAGCTGAACTTCTCTAGATGATAAAATACTCAAAAATAGAAACAAATCGAAAATATTTAATGCTGGAGGATATGAATACATCGGAAGAACATTACTGGTAGTGTTTTAACTTATCTTAAGAATCATATATATCCCTGCCGCGGAGAGATCCGTTGCTAGAAATCTCATAGGGGTTGATAAGGGCACCGCACCATGTTCTTTGAGTGCATCGATTTGCGGGCAGGCCTCATGGAAGAGGAGCAAGAAAAAGGAGGCTATCCACTGTAAGAAGAAAACCCTCCCGGTTCTTCGAATTGGAATAGTAAGATAGTCTACAGATATCATATCATCTCCCTCGTCCCCCACGAAGAAGGGGGTGGGGGGCTCCTTGGGATTCTCCAATGACAAGATCAATAGAGACCAACCGGTCCCACTCATCACGGGTTCGTCTCCTCAGCTTCCTTCAATGCATCTATGAACAGATTCTTCAGGTGGGTATTTGAAGCCGCCACCTTCTGGGACATGAGGTCGAAGTCCCCCCCTGATCTGGTGAGTGAGCAAGAAGTTGACCTCCTCAAAACCACCCAATATTTTCTCCCAAAAACTGAAGGTCTCTAGGGTTTTTGCGATGACTTACGGATCGAACACAACGCCGCCGGCCTCTTGGACGATGACAACCCCGCCCGCAACATCCCTGAAAAAACAGGTACTGATCATAACCAATTTCTGGGTTGATCGATCTCATCAAGCTGACAGAAGTCGGGTCTCAAGGATGAACCAGGGGCCGCCGAACCCGAGCTCATAGAATAGATCGATCCTGCCACAGGCAATGCCGCAGAGATTCAGCGCGCAAGAGCCGCTCATCCGGAGGGATCTCACCTGAGAGAAATCCGCAGGGGGTGAAGGGGGGGTGGGGTGGATCAGGGGGGTCAGTGTTGGCAGATTTTTTTCCAAAAATGGATGGTCTTTGTCCTGGAGACTAGACTTAACTTACCTTGAACAGCAAGCTGTTGATTCTATTAGTGGTAGCACCCACAGTCAACTTATCGCGCTTGGTTCCTACCTGATCAGGTAAGGGGTGATTCATCAAACAGCTGCTTTCTTTCACAAAATTCAGCACGATTCGTTTATGTACGTGCATTTAAATGGCACTTTGTTCTTTCGTAAGATTTAAGAAATTCGTCGAGAGAGAGAGAGAGAGAGAGAGAGAGAGAGATGAATCATAGAATTCCCTATTCGACATCTCCAACCTATGAATATAAATCTACAAATCATGATGTTTAAAGCTGGCTATCTGATTACACCAATTTGAGGCACACGGGAAAAAAATCAGAATGAGGAATGTTACCTCAGTAGCAAGAAGGGACTTCATCAACTCAGATTGAGGTGAAACTGAAGAAATTCCAAGATTATACGAGAACATCAGTCAGGTAATTCTTTCAACAAACGCACATTTTTCTCCTTTCTATAAAACGGGTTCCCAAGTTCTATGGGCTCAAGTATGCATATATATGCACAAATACGACCAAGTATTCTGCAGTGAGAGGGAGATTTATGAGATTTCTCACCTTTTATAGGGTTTCCATTAAGAAAAGCTCCCTGCCCACGAATACCTGTAAACATCTGGAATCATAGACAGATGAATCAGATGCATAGTCCGACGATTCGGATAGTAACAAAAGGCCTGAAGGGCCGATACGTCAATATCTGGTTAACCCATATTGCGCAATTGCTCGGTTAATAAAACCACAAGAAAGAACAAAATAATAAAGAAATATACATCAATGCATCTCAGCTATGCGGATCAGCACCATCCACAAGAATACATGCCCATTCTCACCTCGTTTATAATGGGATTGTATACAACCCCCACTGTAGGAACCTTTCCTATTGTAAGCCCAATAGACACGCACACAAAAGGGAACCTAGCATTGATACCAGAGCCACATTAGAAGGGTAATCAGTGAGAAAATTGAAGACGGTTTCACCTACCCGTGAACGAAGTTGGTGGTTCCATCGAGGGGGTCGACAATCCATGTGGGATCATCGGTCAGCTCAGCAGTTCCGTTTGCAGCAGAAGTCTCCTCGCCTATAAGCTGAGGAAGGAACATGACTGAAATCAGAATAGTCTCGTTTGCAGAGACGAACGATCGCACCTTTGATGATGGAGAAAGGAGGAGATGTTTGGGAGGGCATAGGAAGTCACCTTGTGGTCGGGGAAATGCTTCTTGAGGTAGTTGAATATGTGATCTTCGCATGCCTTGTCAGTTTCGGTCACCAAATCCACCTTAATTGCATAAAAAACGCCACCATGATTACTCCCATTGCGCTAAGAACGTTTTGTTTTGCAAGGTTCAGCGTGAGATAAGTTCGTGGTGATAGTCGATGAAAAAAATGAGGAAAATATAGGGTTCATGCAAAGATGCAACCCTTTTTTTGATAGGAGGCCGACTTACCCGTGTTACCGTGTTATATATTACAGAGAGAGAGCATATAGAAGCACATAATCAGTAAGTTTTTGACAAAAACCAGTTATGGAAATCGTTATGATATTCCTGAGAGAGGGAAAGAGAGAGAGAGAGAGAGAGAGAGAGAGAGAGAGAGAGAGAGAGAGGAGTCAAAAGGTTTACTGAAAGAAACTCATTTATGCAACATTTTCATGATGTCCACGAGGAATGTACAAGAATATGACAAGTGAATTCTTGAAAAAAATCTTCTGCACAACATTTTTGCTACCTCGACGACGATGCACAGGTTCAGTCATCACGAAAACCAGGAAGCCTCTCTCTCTCTCTCTCTCTCTCTCTCTCTCTCTCTCTCTCTCTCTCTCTCTCTCTCTCTCAATCAAGTTAGAAATGTCTGTTTGGGAACATTAGAGCCACAAAATTAAAATTAAGGAAAAAAAGATAAAACCTCCATTCACGAAAGAAGAACATAGGCCATTACTGAGAAAAAGATTAACAAATCTATCTCCGAGAAAGCCAGACCATAGGCTGAATTCTTTAACAAAAAAACTCTAATTAGAAATCTATATATTGGATAGAAGCTGCGCAGGAACAAGTATACCATCCAACCAATATCGCATTTTTAACTTAGAAAAGAATGCTATTCTTGGGTGAGAATATAAGATAAAAAACCTGGCCCTTGTGCTCGACATTTTTGGTCTGGTAGAACCCACTTCGAATTATCTGCGAATCACCGAATTTGATAGGGGATAGAGGAAATTAGCACAATCTTCAAAAGGGTGCGAAAGAAAACTAGTTTCTGATGCGTTCATTACATGAAAATGTGGAACAACTAGGTCCGAGAACGTAAGAAAAAGAAGAAAAAGAAGGAAGGAAGCATCTCCGCTCACCTCACCGGCGCTTTTTGCTGCCTCCACCGCAACAGCAAGGTACTCCGAGGCGAACGAACCTGTAATCTCCCCGGCAACAAAACAAATCGGAAGGGTTCGCCTTCTGCTAGTGAATTATAACAGAAGGACCAGAGAGAGAACCAACCGTTCTCCGCCATTCCAATTCTAAATCTTCTCAAAGGCTTCCGTTCGCCCTGTACCACAGACGATCGAGAGGTGCAGCTCCACCCAGCGTCAGCGAGTACGATGCGGGAAAGAGAGACCGCAGTGTCCCCGAACTTATACTGCCTTGAGGGTTCGCCTGAATGGAGAGAGAAAAGTCCAGAGTCCGAGGGACGCGCGAGTGGCCCAAAAGAAGAGATCATACCACCATCGTCTCCGCACCTAAAGCACGGAACGGCGTTCACGACTTCTCAGTAATCTGGATCGACGCGGGGCAGACCGGTAGTTTGAGGACAAAAGAGGGTTCTTTGAGATAGAAGAAGAAAGGAAAAGGGGCATATAAGGTAGAATATTCGTGTCGACGGGAACCCGCAAGATCCCTACTTGCTAGGTAACATATGGAGGAGGACGAAGACACGTATCCGGAATCCTACCTTCGGAATAAACCGATGCGATAGGGGCGATTAGAAGAATCATATTCCCGGATGGGAAGAAGGGATGGGGTACTCTCGAAACAGAGGAAGATCATATCAACAGTGGAATAATTCTGGAAGAGGACGAAGTTTCAATGATCGAGCTCAAGAATAACAAAATTTTCAAAGAAGACCACTAAAATGTCAAATCTGTCATCAAATCGGTCATCGAGCACAAGAGTGTCATCAGTGTTATGTTGGGTATTTTGCTTCACATTTTTTTCCAAATCGAAACTATTCACAGCAACAAGGATACTCTACTTCCCGAGCCTATACTGCAACAAATCAACCTGATCCTTCTGTATTTGAAACTGATTCATCATCGTGGTACCTTGATAGTGGTGCCACTCTTCACATCACCAATGATACCCAGATGATTCAAGACCCATCCACCTACACTGGACCAGATCAAGTGCTTATCGGTAATGGGTCAGGTTTGTCCATTCTTTCTCATGGTTCTTCTGTTTTACCTACTTCATCGAATTCTTTAAAATTAAACAATATTTATGTGTTCCTCACATAACCAAAAATCTATTTTATGTTCAAAAATTAACATCAGATAATAATGTTTACATCGAATTTCATCCAAACTCTTGTTTTGTGAAGGATTGCAGCACAAGGATGACACTGCTCAAGGGCGAATTTAAAAACAATCTTTACCATTTTTCATCGACATCTCATCCCTCAGCCTACCTGGGGGAGCGAACTACCTCCACCACATGGCATCAACACCTCGGCCACCCCAATTTTAGAATTTTACAGCATGTTATAAACAAGTTTGGCTTACCTCTTACACATAATAAGAAGACATCGATTTGTGAATCTTATTCTGTTTCTAAAATTCACAAATTACCTTTTAAATCATCTTCTAGAAATTCACTTAAACCTCTTGAAATTATGCACTTTGATCTCTGGGGAACGGCTCTCATTTTATATCATTCTGGTTTTTTATATTATGTTATTTTTGTTGATGATTATAACAAATATATATGACTTTTTCCTCTGCAAAGAAAAAGTGATGCTCTCAATATCTTCATTTCTTTTCAACAAATAGTAGAATGGCAATTTTCTTCCAAAATTTTAACTCTTCAATCTGACTAGGGAGGATAATTTCAAGCAATTCACAAATATCTCTCACAGCATCGCATCAAACATAGAGCTTCTTGTCCACATACGCTTGAGCAAAATGGAACTGCTGAAAGAAAATATTGACATCTAATTGAAACAACTTTAACACTTCTTCATCAGTCCTCAATGCCATCAAAAGTTCTGGGACGGAGCCATCTCAACTGCTGCCTACCTAATAAATCAACTACCTACACCAATCCTAGGTAATATCTCTCCCTTTGAAAAATTGTTTTCAAAACATTGTGACTACTTACCTTTCAGAACCTTTGGGTGTGCATGTACCCCAATGTACGACCAGATATTAAAAAGAAACTCATGCACATATCTGAACTCTTGTGTCTTTCTTGGCTACAGTTCCAAGCATACGTGCTACACATGTTTATCTCTCACTAACAATCGGCTTTATATTTCAAGAGATGTTATTTTTCATGAAACTCACTTTCCTTTTGCAGATTTATTCAAAATATCACATAATTCCACTTCTCAAAACATTTCATCTGTTGTTCAATCCTCTAAACCAGGTATTTTCGGACCTTTTAAAAAAAATTGAATGCCTATATATCCAGAAAACTCTCCACTCCACCATTGTGAGTCATTAAAACAGTCTGAATCTAACTCTTCTGCATCCTTGCATTCCTCTGATCAACCTTAGATTTCGTCTCAAAACCAAAATTCAATTTCTGTAATAACTACATAACATGCATCATATTCCTCAATTCAGATTCTGACACATCATCACAACCTACTTCATCTCATAACTCATCATTTGATCAATCTATCTCTGGACCATCGACTTCAACTTTTGAACAGTCGACTTCTCTTCAATCCTTTCCATCTCACTTCACTCCTTGTAAATTCAGATCAATTACTGACATTTATCATGACACAACGTCTCGATCTACTCGATATCCAATATGCTTAACTTCTATAGTAGCATTCAAACTTCCTTCATATTTTTCACAAGTCTTTAAAAATCTGTCCTGGAGACAAGCTATGACCTCTAAATTTGATGCCCTTATGTCTAACAAAACATGGGTTCTTGTACCTCGTATTCCAAACATGAATCAAATTGACTGTAAATGAGTTTTTCACATTAAATTTGATCCTGATGGTACTATTTATCGTCATAAAGCTAGGTTGGTTGAAAAATGTTACAAATAAAAACCAAGTATTGATTACTCGTCGGAACACGCGGGCGTACTCCTTGCTTCTGGGGACATTGATCCGAAGCTCGAGTACGGTCCGTGCGCCGTTTTTCGTCGGAAACATTCAGTCCAATAATTAAAATTACCAAAGTCAGACTGCTTCTCACTCTTGCCATTAATCTTAACTGGTCAGTTCGACGGCTTGATGTTTCAAATGCCTTTCTTCATGGCACTCTAGAGGCATGAAAACAAGTATATTTTATCCCAATCGAAATATATTTCAGACTTATTAAAAAAATCCAAAATGGATACATGTAAGCCTGTATCTACACCTCTTCTAGTATCTACGTCATCTCAAAACATTACTTCATCTGTTGATCCCATTGAATTTCGAAGCATCGTTGGGGCTCTTCAATATGTTACTCTCACAAGACCTAACTTAGCTTTTGCAGTCAACAAGGTTTGTCAATATATGCATAATCCCCAACCAGTGAATTAACCATATTCTTCGTTATTTAAGGGGAACTTTGAATCATGGTTTACTTATTCAACAATCTTCTAACTTCTCTTTAAGCGCATTTAGTGATGCAGATTGGGTAGGTTTCATTGAAGACCGATGATCAACCAGCGGTTACCTCATCTACCTAGGACCAAACCTCATCTCCTGGAACTCCAAGAAACAACCTACAGTCTCTAGATCCAGCACTGAGGCTAAGTACAAAGCTCTTGCTAATGCGACCTCAGAACTAATATGGCTCACCTATCTTTTGCAGGAATTAAAACTTCCACATTCAGTACCTAGGAACAACCAATCCAGTGTTTCATGCCAGGATGAAACACATCGGAATTGACCACCATTTCGTTCGGGAACGTGTTGCAGCAAAGCTTCTCCGAGTTTCATTCATCTCCGGAAAAGATCAGTTAGTGGATGTTCTAACTAAATCTCTTCCAAAGGGCTGTTTCTCCAGGCTCAGAGACAAGCTGAACGGTGTTGCCGAGGAACCGGCTCAACCATCCCGAAGAACCAGTCCAACAATGGTCCTCGACCGGACCGTTGCTCTTCCGAACATTGCCCAGACGCGTGGCGTATAGCTCAGTAATAACGGACATATGGGAAACCTTCCCAAAATGGTCCAATTGTCTCCTATATAAAGACCACCCAACTCATTAATAAAATGGTGGTTTTCTTGCCAATTATGTTCTCTCCTCTTTCTCTTCTCGATGCTGAGATCTCTTCCTCCTTATTCTCCAAATTCTTGGTTCTTTATAGTTCTACGTAGATAATCCGAGAGGATCTGCAATAAGGCTTAATGGTAGGGGTTCAAACAAGGGAACGATTCCCTCTCGAGTCCATTGAGAATTGTCTAAATCTATAATCCAATCGACCTTCAAAAATTCCCACCCATCCTAGTTGCTAAATTTCCAGGATCTCCTGCCGCAGTCCGATTATTCCCATCCATAATTCTAGGTCGATGATGTAAATGAAGAAGATCGCCTGGAAGAAGAAAGGAGCCCAAGAAGAAGTGCAACAGCTTCAGTGGTTTCGTTGGGGAGCCCAAGACGGAAACATCGCAACCGAACAAAATTCACCATGCCTTCCCTCCCTTGGATCATCCAGAACATCTTTATTTCTATTAGCTCCCTTATTCCAACGCTTTTGTGGCTCAAGCCTTGATCTTGAAGGAAGTGAGTTGCCTGGTACCGGCCCAAACTTTCTCGTATAATACAGCCTCGAACTGGTGCGCGACATCGCTGTCCTTAGCCTAGACGACGAGCTTGTAGGTGATCCCCGCCAGGACCTGCTTCTTCCCGCTGATGAGGCGGATGAAGACCAGCTGCACTCTGGATTGCTTGTTGAACTCCGACACGGAGAACTCGCCGATCTCCTGGATATGGGGTTCATGGACGTCCGCGATCGGGGCAAATCCGCCAAGGAGGGTAGATTGACTTCCAATGGTTGCCACAATGAGGTAGTGAAAGGATGTGACGCCGACGAGGAACAGGAAGACGAGAAGGAGAGGGCGATGGTGGATCATCCTCGTGGTTCTGATGGTAGTGATTCCGGAGGAGATGGTGAGATCTTGAAGAGGGAAGGATGAAGACTGTGAGGAATGATCCGCGTATCCGTCCGCAACGAAGTATTAAATCCGTAAGGACATTGAACCGTAGAAGTCATAACTGTTTATTTGTTATTACAAACACTAAAAACTGCTATCTCCATGAGACCAAACGATTAGAGAAACCACATGGGTGAACATGGAATGAGAACATGATCTACGTAAACAATAAGAGAACGCCTCACCCCGAGTATTGATTGAAATAAACTGTATACCAGATCAAGACGTGCTCCTGAAGTGGAGGAGCTCCCTGCCTTTGTTCTAGATCTTATCCCTCACGGCGGCCTCGTACTTTGGGGCCTTTACGTGGTCCGTGGCCTAGATAAAGGGGCAGTAGGACCGCCTGTCGACGTAACCCCTGAAACTCCGGTCGTTCTCGAGGTCCTCCCTCATCAGCATGTTGTGCTCTAACACAGTGAAACGAGCGATCTCTTGAACATTGTACTCGTCTACCTTACTCTGATTCTAATCACCTGCTCGGAGGATATGGCATTCGTTTTGTAACATGGGCTTAAAGGGTTAAGCCAGAAAAAAAAATACAAGTAGGTCTTTGGAAATGAGCAATATTTGATGGCCCGGTATTGCAGCGGAAGAATAAAAATATAAGGTACACAATATCCACTAAGTACTAGATATCCGGCCAAGTCAAGATTCCACTTAGAAACCCTCTTTAAGATTCCGGGCTGTATGGTCTCTAACAAGATAGGCCTACTATGTTCTTCTAGATTTCGGATTCTGGAGGCTTAAAAAGAGAGACACACTCTTCTCTAATAGGTTCCAATATCTAGGGGCCTAACAAAGATAAGCTAACGCAATCTCCCCTTGATTAAGGCTCTAAGTAAAGTATTGAGTACATACTCAACCCAAACACTAAGAATATGTTACGCTTCTTAACATTTTACCTATATTCTTCTAAAGGATTGTTCATTGAATGCCTTACGCGCCGCATAATATACTTTAAAATGTGGCGTTATTTTCACTTCTGAACATTTGTATAAACTGGTAGATGAAATTCTACGGATAAAAATGGATAATTTGATCTCATTTCTCCTTGTTACTAAGACGCTAGCCGAAAGCAATTCATACGTTCTCGAACGACAGACTGAAATAAGCATCGTGTATTATCTCAAGCTCTAATAATTCTGATCTCCATAAAGCAAGTCTAACACAAAACCTCAGTGGACCACATAACAGGGAATTTGTGGGTCCAAATTAGGACAGTCCAGGAGCTACTCCATTGGGGGATCAATGAAAGGAGTTGGGAGGGAGGACTAGTAGAATTTCGGAACAAACACAGATAGTGAATAACTCGAACAACAATCTTGAATCAATAACTCGGAATACAAGGGGGGAATTTCATAGAATATCTGGGTAAAGACCTTGAGCATTCCCTCCCTCCCTCCCTAAACTTGGGCTTTTCGAAGAGACTCCCTGATGAGATAATAGAGGTTGGTGTTTGCTTCACGATTCTTTACTAGCGATTTTTTCCTCCTCCTAGAAGAAGCCTACAATGTGCATTGAATTTCACATCCACATTTGCAAAGTGTTAAAGACAATATCTACCTTTGGCGTTATTTTTACTAGTGACAGGAACTTATGACATTAAGACCTTCGGGATTGAATTGACTCACTTGAGATAAGGAATATTTATTTTCCAAAAGAAAAGTATGTCCTTGACACTTTTAAAGAGATTCAAAAACTAGATAGTAAACCCATAAGTACCTCCATAGATCTAAATCACAAACACAAAAATACAGAAGAAACTAGCCCATAAAATAAATTGATGTATCAGCATCTTATGGGAAAGGTGATTCACCTTTCTTCACACTAGACCAGTCATTTTATACTCAAGAAGAGTTCTTGATCAATTAATGCATGACTCAAGGAAAGTTTCATTTTTAGCAATGGATAGAATTATACAATACTTAAAGAGAACTCTCAATAAAAAAGATTTCATTTAAGAAAAGAAATATCAATATACATGTTAAAATGTATACTGATGATGATTATAAAAACTTATTATTAACCAATGATCAACCTCAAGCTACTAGACACTTATTAGAGGCAACTTCATCACATAGAGGAATAAGATGCAAAAAGTGGTACTCAAATCTAAGGCAAAATGAGAATTTTGAACCATACGACATAACATATCTGATGTCTTGTGGATGAGCCATAATAGACAACTTAGTATAATATGATTCGATCAAGAGTATTGAGATTAATCGAACATTGAACAAGAAACTTGATAGTGACATCATTTAGACGTCATGTGTCCACTTATGAGTAGCTCTCAAATATACTCACCAGAAGATTAAGCGGATTAACCTTCTATAGGTTTACATATAGGCTAGGATTGAAAGACATCCACTCACCAACTTGAGGGAGAATGTCGGAAAGCGAGATATTACAATCATACCAAGGTCTTATTGCTAATCGTATATATACTACTTTCTCTTGTATTTTTATCTTTTTTTTGTGGTGTATCGGATCCAATTCAACAAAAGTGAAGCCTGATTAACCAGTTCCGATCCACAGAGTCAGGTCCAGTATAAATGCATGCATGCGTTTTCTCATTCAACAATAAATTTAATTTCATCTTTCACCTTTTCTCTTCTATCTGGCGACCAGCAATCATGGCGGCTTCGACGGAAAATGTTAAATAACAAGGTCCAAGAAGGTAAGGAAACAAATGAAAAAGGGAAGAAAACATCACCGCTTATCTCACCGGAGCTCCTAGCTGCCTCGACCACAACAACAAGGTACTCCGAAGTCAACGAACCTATAATCTCCCCGGAAACTTAAACGAATCTGAAGGGTTCGCCTTCTGCAAAATTATATCAGAAGGACGAGAGAGAGAGAGAGAGAGAGAGAGAGAGAGCCAAACGTTATCCGGGATTCCAGTTCTAAATCTTCTCAAACGTTTCCGTCTGCCCTTTTCTCCAAGACGAGGCGGAGCTCCACTCAGCGTCAACGAGTACGATGCGGGAAAGAGGGACCACAGTGTCCCCAAACTTATATCGCCTCGAGTGTTCTCCTCAGGGGGATAGAGAATTCGAGAGTCGGAGGGACAAGCGAGAGGCCCAAAAGAAGAGATCACACTACCCTCGTCTCCGCACCTAAACTACGAAACGGCGTTCATGACGTTTCAAGAATCTTGATCGCCGTCGGACAGACTTATAGTTTGAGGACAGAAATAGGGTTCTTTGATATAGAAGATGAATGGGAAGAGGGGCATATAAGGTGGAATATTCGTGTTGAGGGGAACCTGGGGGATTCCCATTTGCCAGGTAACTCAACTGGAGGAGGACTCAGACACGTATTGGGAATCACACCGCCCGAATGAACCGATGCGATAGTTGCAATTAGGAGAACCACATTTCCGGGAGGTGAACAAGGAGGGGAATTCTTTTTTATGATTCCAGAACCCCTCATTGTTCTATCCGGATAATCCGAGCGCGTCCGCAGTAAGGTTAAATGGATGGGGTTAACCAAGAGAACGGTTCCATCTCGGGTCAATTGAGAACGTCTAAATCTAATCCAATGGACATTCAAAAATTCCCACTCCATCCCAATTGTTAAATTTCGAGGAACTCCTGTCGCAGTCCGATTGTTCTATCCATAGATGTAGGTCGATAATGTAAGGAGATCGCTTGGAATCCTCCCCTTCCCAGCCGGCGCCCCGATCAGACAGAAAACTAGGTTCTGCAGAAGAAGAAAGGAGAAGCGCAACTGCTTCAGCAATATTCTTGGGGTACCCTAGACGGAGACATCAACAGAACAAAATTCACTATACCTTCCCTCTCCTGGATCACCCGGGGCATCTTTATTTCTATTGGCTCCCTTATTCCAAGGTTTTAGGCTTCAAGCCTTGAACGTGAAGGAAGTGAGCTGCCTGTAGCCGGTCCAGACTTGCTCGTACACTAAAGTCTCGTACTGGTGCACTGCCTCGCCCTCCTTGGCTTCGACGACGAGCCTGAAGTTGATCCCCGCGACGACCTGTTTCTCCCCGCTAATGACGCGGATGAATACCAGCTGTACTCCCGATTGCTTGTTGTTCTCCGACACGGCGAACTCACCGATCTCCTGGATGTGGGGGTCATTGACGACCTCTATCGGGTAAAACCTGCCGGGGATGGTCGATTGACTTCCAACGCTGCCGAAGAGGAACAAGAAAAAGAGGAGAGGACGATGGTTGATGTTCGTCATGGTTCTGATGGTAGCGATGCCGGAGGAGAAGATGGGGATCTTGAAAAGGGAAATATGGAGTCTTTGAAGAATGATCGGCGTTTCCGTTCGCAACGAAGTATTAAATCCGTCAGCAAATTGAAATCACCATGGAAGCAATAGTGGTTCATGCATTATGAGAACAGTAGAAATTGTAATCTTCACTACACCAACCCAATAGGTGAACTGCTGGGAAAAAGGGCCTGAATATAATGGCCTGGTATTACAGCGGAAGGAGCGCTTGATAACAATATCCACAGAGCAATAAAAGATATTAAGGAGTGTTAGAGTTCTGATAATTGATATCAGTGAATCTTGACACGGTTTTACGCCGTTCTTCCCCTCTGTCCTCCATGATAATCTTAGTTTCCGATGTCATCTCCTTTAAATGTTAGTTTACGTCAAGGATTATGAGAAAAAGAGAAGAATGACACCACGAATTAATAAAGCTTTTCACAGCCAACCAAATAAGGAGATTGTTCACTATTAATAAGGAAAAAGAGACAATAAATGGAGGAGAGTAATTCACGACCAAAAACCATAAATGGGGGAGAGCCGGATCCTCAATGTCAGCCACCGGAGACGGGGTTTTCCCCATATTTCTCTCGCTCTCTTTCTCTCTCCCTGTGCCCCCTCTTAATATCCCTTTTAAAAATTTATCGGGATTACTTATGAACTCGTAACCATTGGTG